TGAAGCTAATAACTGGCTTTGTTGGCATCTGCGCTGTAAATAACCATCTATTTTCATTCTGTCCTGCCTGAAATCATCTTTGAAAATATTACCCTAAGCAGTAAGTCTTGTAATGTTGTTTTCTTGAGAGGAACTTTGCAGTCGGTGGCAGGATAAGCGAAAACCGAATACCTCTGGCAGACTCAAGATGCCAGAGAGTTAAGTTTACTTAAATGCTTGCACGTCGATGGGAGTTTGAAAACCCACATGTGGGTGTGTTGTTGGGTTTTAGGAGAATTTATACCTATTTCCAGCTTTCCTCAAAGAGTCCAAAGGCTGTCAAGGGCTTTTGGGTTTTGCCATATGATAAGAGACTGCATCAAAGCTGGGAAACACTCAGGGCTTTATCTTCTGTACCAACCAGTGTTGTAGTACTCGAGACTCGGACTCGTCTCGGACTCGGTCTCGAGACCATGTTTTAATGGTCTTGGTCTTGTCATGGACTCGTGTCCATTTGGCCTCGGAATTGACTCGTACTCGAACATTTTTTTTTTTAGGACTCGGACTTATTCCCGAGTCCACTCGAGTTCAATTCAAAATATTTGTCATGATTATTAATGTATGTTAATAAAATATTTCTTTAAATTGATTGACACGCCCAGTGATTGGTGATTTTCTAGTGCGCAACTGCGCATGACAAATTGTAATAAAATTACTTTTAAAACCACCTACTATGTGGCCTTTTTACCCTAAACTGATCATATTTTTAAACTCTAAGTAAATTCAGTAAAAAAAAAAAAAAAAGATTTCTCTAAGTAAATAAAAGTACATTTTATTCAAATTTTAATCAACCCTCACTGGTCTCGGTCTTGACTCGGACTCGACTCTCTATGGTCTCGGACTCGACTCGGACTCGACTCTCTATGGACTCGGTCTCGACTCGGACTCGACTCTCTATGGACTCGGTGTCGACTCGGACTCGAGTGAGGTGGTCTCGACTATAACACTGGTACCAACCATTCTGCTGCCTTAAAGGGATAGTTCACCCAAAACTGTAAACTCTGTCAGTAATTACTCGTCCTCATGTTCTTCAACCCTGTTAGACTTTTGTTCATCTTCAAAACACAAATTAAGGTGAGTGTGATTAAATCTGAGAGCTGGATCGAAACTTACTGGTCCAGAAAAGTGAAAGCAATGTTAAAATAGTCCGAGTGACTACAGTGGATCAACCTTAAGTTTATCAAACGACTATAATATTTGATTTAAATATTTATTTAACGACTTTATTCAACTATTCATTTCCTTCACTGTTGGCCTGGAGTGAGTTCACGTAGTGTAACAGCGCAGAGCTTCTGTTTCGTACGTCACACGCAGGCTCACTATTGGCCCACGCTGGTCATGTGTGTGATGCGTGTGACGTACAAACACAGAAGCGCTTGGACTATTTTAGCAATGACTTGAACTTTTCTGGGCCGACAAGTTTCGATCCCTGAAGGAGTGATCCAGCTTTTAGATTTAATCACAAATATCTTAATTTGTGTTAGTCTTACGGGGAACAACATGAAGGAGAGACACTGACAGAGTAGTTCACTTTTCAAAACACTTTTGCTAAAAATTTACTCGCCCCCATGTCATCTAAGATGTCCATGTCTTTCTTTCTTCAGTCGAAAAGAAATGAAGGTTTTTGATGAAAACATTCCAGGATTTTCTCCATATAATGGACTTCAATGGGAACCAAACGGTTCAAGGTCCAAAAGACAGTTTCAGTGCAAAATGTTCAAAGGGCTTTATATGATTCCAGACGATGAATAAGGGTCTTATCAAGCGAAACGATCGCTCATTTAATAAATAAATAACAAAGTTTAAGTTTTATAAGCTCAAATGCTCGCCTTGCTCTGTTCTGTGATGCGCGTTCGTGACTCTCCTGTTCGAACTCGTTCATCAAAATGATCGAATCTTTTTTCGAGTTATTTGGTTGATTCAACGAATGAAAGGAACGAATGAAGAACGAATGAAGTTTTGTTCATTTTGATGAAAATTACCTATCGTTTCGCTTGATAAGACCCTTATTCATCGTCTGGTGTCGTTTAAAGACCTTTGAACAGTTTGCACTGAAACTGTCTTTTGGACCTTGAACCGTTTGGTTCCCATTGAAGTCCATTATATGGAGAAAATCCTGGAATGTTTTAATTTCTTTTCGACTGAAGAAAGAAAGACATGGACATCTTGGATGACATAGGGATGAGTAAATTATCAGCAAAAGTTTTTTGAAAAGTGAACTAGTCCTTTAACCCTTTCATTATGCATCGCTTTGCAATGAGAAGCTGCCTGAGAACTCATCTGTCAAACATATCATTGACTGTGTGTGGTTTAAACTTATTTTTATTTGGCACAAATCAAAAGTTGGCGCTAAACCAAGAGTAAAAGGTGAAGCGTCTGGCATAATTCCTCATAGATAAATATAGCTTATGCAACATGAGGCAGAGCCAACACAAAGTGTTATGCACACAACACTGCCGTAATGCTAATGAGAGTCAGTCAAGCACTTGAACAGTCAAATTAAACAGTATTATTCATCACTTAAACGTTGTTGCTCGAGACTTCCCACTAGTCGTACTAAAATTGAATGTCTTTTGATTCATTTCTAAATAAGGTCCTCCTGTAGTCAATATTTTTATCCCAAAAAACTCATATTTGATCTTCAAAATGACATATTTAAAGTATTTATCCTTGAAAAATAATTTTCTTTTTTGCCTTAAACCTTGTGCGCTGTGACCCCAAATGATGTTTGCTGAAATAAATAAAAAATGTTCTCTTTGTCCAAATGGCATGACTCGTGAAACTTTGGTACAGTTTTTTCTTTTCTAGTTTTTTCTTTTTTTTAGATCTACAAACAAAAACTAAAAAAATGACATCTGGAATCAGAAATGTGAGGCTAAAATGAGGCTAAGAGATGTGAAGCTTATGTGAGGCTAAAAATGCTCTCTTATGTGGAAGGGGGAGAGAGAGGGGGGGGGGGGGTGAGACAATACAATTTAGCACAAACACACAAACAGTTCAAATATCGAGATCACAGAGTTTGAGGCACAAGATCTTTCCTGCTATTAGAGTATTTTGTCTGTGTATCCCAGAGGGGATTTTATTCATATGCATATTTATACAGACTGCAAAGGGTTAATAAGTTTGGTTTTAAGTACAAGAATTCACACGTGTTTTATACATCCTTAACTTGCTTGCACTGAAATACTTTCTGTGCTGATCTTCATTGTACTCGTTTTCTGATTCCTATGTTTAGATGCAGCTCAGGAGAACGTAAGCTGGCAATCTGCGTTAGTTCTCTAAAAATATAATAAAGTGCACCCAGTAATGTTTGTAATCTATTTTATAAGTTACATGGACTGATGATATAATATTCATCAGTATATTATGGATATATATTATTATTATTATTATTATTATTATATTCCTTATTATTTTATTAGTAATATTCTAATATTATACTATCAATAATAAACATATACCATGAATGGATAAATAAACTCTAAAGACTCCAAATGTTCAGGTTTGATTCTAATCATAATGCATTTTTCATAATATGTAAATATATGAATCCAACTGGAAAAAACTTGTGAAAAGATGTCTTTCAGTTAGTCAAATAGCAAATAGTGGAGCTCTACTGCCATCTACTGGTGAAAGTGATCATTTTTTACTTTTAAAATGGCATTTTCCAAAAGATGGGGAAAATGTGGTTCCTTTATAAAGTGAATTTTAAATAAAAACATTTTTTGTAAAAAAAAAAAATATATATATATATATATATATATATAAATATTAAATATTTTTACATTTATTTATATAAATTTAAAAAAATCAAAAATCCTTTAAAAAAACTGCACAAATATGGAGTAAAAACATTAATGAACTAAGTAAAATCATATTTGTCTAAAACAAAAATTGTTACAAAATTTTGTTTCCTGGTGTCTCTTATGACCCTTAACAGCGCAAGTCCCAAACGAACAGCACACAAGTCTTAAACTAGCTTAAATGTAACTCATCACCCTGGTCTCATTTAGTACACATGGTTTTATGAATATTCAAATGAGCCCCGCCTCCACTCACTCACTCAGAGATCCACTGGCTGACGATCACACGTTGATCTGCGGTGCGTTTCCCGAAAGCATCGTTAGTCAGCTATGGTCGCAGGTTCCGTCGTTACCAATAGAGTTCAATGGAAATTGTGACCAACTTTCGACCATAGTTGGCTAACGATGCTTTCGGGAAACTCACCCCTGATTGGTTACAACATCGCAGAAACACCAGCAATTTCAAACCGTGTTTTTGAGACTGTCTTTGGTTCACTGCTTTTTTAAGCAGAAAATACTCAGCAATGCTGTCCATTTGTGAACTTACACATGGTTTGTCTTAAAGCGTATCAAAAACACCACATACACACATAAACAACATTAAAAACTGGATTTTCACCAGAGGGGGACTTTAAATGGTGTAAGGAAACACTTTATAATATGATCTAATTTGTTAGCATTAGTTAATACATTAACCAACAAGCTTTGGATTTTAATTAACATTAATTTAGATTAGTAACTGCTGCATGTATTGTTTATCGTTAGTTCATGTTAACAAATGAAACCTTAAAGTGTTACCATATGTGTGTGTTGAATTAAGCATAATCTCAAATAAGACTCCAAAACTCCTCTGAATGATTGGGTTAATGAGAAATTATGAATGACTACATAATAGTCAAGTGGTTTGTGAAGAATTCAAGCAATAGAGTTGCACCTGTTGCCTTTCTGACCATGAACTTTCCAGCAACACTTGCTTTTTCCATGTTCACCGACAATGACTCTGCTCCTCTCAAACATCCGAAACATTTGCTGAAACTGAAAGACTAATTCCAGTCAACTGCGCACTTCACACACCCCAACAATCACGGTCTCGCTAAACAGAAGTCCACACAATGACTGACTGGTTTTCCTTGCTAGTTCCCAGGCATTTGGGCTTACCTTTCCCCAGGTCCGGTGTGGCTCTTCCAGGGCCATGTGTACACGTGTGTGTTGTGCTGAAGGCTTGTTTGCTGCTATACTGGCATTCCCGTGCCCTGCGTGTTCAGCTTGACATGAGTGAGAGTGTGACCCGATAACTCTTGAGCGCAGGAGGTTTCCATTTATAGAGCCTAGAAAGCCACAAAAATAGTCCACAGACAGCAGGAGCCTGTGACAACAATAACACACCCGTCCGTGACGACGGGACCACCGGGACATCCACTGATGATCATTTGCTTTTGAGCTGTTAAAGGGATAGTTCACCCAAAACTGTGAACTCTGTCAGTGATTACTCTCCCTCATGTTGTTCCCCGTTCATCTTCAGAACACAAATTAAGATATTTGTGATTAAATCTGAGAGCTGGATCAATCCTCCATATAGGCTTCTAAGGGACTGAAACTTGGCGGCCTAGAAGAGTTATTAAAGACATTGTTAAAATAGTCCGAGTGACTACAGCGGCTCAATCTTAAGATTATCAAGTGTCTTCTGCTCACCAAGGCTGTATTTATTTGATCAAAAAATTCAGTAAACTGTCATGTGGTTGGCTTTGACATTGGCTGTCATGAGGCATTATAACTGTGTCATGAATATTTTCTACATTGAATTTGTCATTAAAAGGTTATAATGTCGACATGACAGCCAATGTCAAAACCAACCACTTAATTGTATCAAATCAAATGTTCATAAATATTAAATTATGGAAGACTTTACATACTCAGATTTTAACAAACAAACACCAAACAATATATAATAGTTTTCAGCTTTAGAAAATAATTAATCTCTGACTTTGAGACAGATGCTTGTGTTTGGCTCTGGGGCTCGTCTTCATCCTTCTGAAACCTCATCAATCCTCATGCCAAGTTTATAAAAAAAAAAAAATTAAAAAGACTAGGGAGGAACAGTGATGCATAATGAAGAACACTGCAACAATACCAGCTTTCCTACAATAACATCTTGATACCATATTGGATTTATTCCTATATATATATATATATTATATATACACAAACACACAGGTGAAACTCGAAAAATTTGAATAGCATGCAAATAAAGTTTATTTATTTCAGTAATTGAACTTACTAATATACTATATTTTATAGACAACTTACTAATAGACTCATTACATGCAAATTGAGATATTTCAAGCCATTTTGATGATAATGAAAGCTTATGAAAACCTTTTCACAATTTGGGGTTTTTATAAGCTGTAATCCATAATCATCAACATTATAAGAAATAAAGGCTTGAAATATGTCACTTTGCATGTCATGAGTCTATTAGTTTCACCTTTTAGGTTGAATTACTGAAATAAATAAACTTTTGCATGATGTTCAGATTTTTCGAGTTTCACCTTTATACTGTTAACGAAAATGACACAATACTCATAGGTTGTGAAACGCATGCATTAATCTGGTCATCTGTATGAGGGATGTTGCTTTTTGCCATTCTTATTTAACTCAGGATTAATCAAACAAATTAGCATCTGCTTTCCTGAACACACACATCAATATAACAGACAGCACCTTTAACCTTACGTTAACGGCCGCTGTGCTTGATCGATGACGACCGAATCACGACATTACTCTTCTATTGTAGACGTTGCCTCCAAATCAATCGTTCTCTGTGAAACTCCTGTGATTTCAAAATGAGTTTGTCAGGAGAATGTGTTCAGTGAGCTGTAAAGCAACATCGAAAAGCGTGAACCGTTCTCGTCGGTTCTACTGTGCCTGGGAATGGAGAAAGCTTCGACATGTCTCGAGAGGCTGACAGGAATGGGAAAAGAAAGGTGGAAGAAAAACAAACCACCCCCTGGCTAATCAGTAAACATAGGTACTTCAACCGCCTGGCTTATTCAGCGTACTTCACCATAATTTGAGTTTCCAAACAAATCTATTTATTATTCTGGTGCGTGTCCACCTCGGCCTAAAGCGTGGCGTGTTGTGTGTGTTTCGGCCTCAGCTGGTCCTGTCCGTCACTCAGCGAGCCTTTATAAGCCTCCTAATGCTGGAATAATCACTCGAACCTCGACTCACTGACACGATCCCCTCGCCACACTGGGATGATCCTGTCTCTGTCTCTGTGGACGGGATTTTGTGATCACAGACAAATGTGTTGTTTTATTTTCCTGTCAAGCTGTTTGATAGACTCAGGATACATTTACAAGGCAACGATGTGCTTAAAGGGGTGGTTGAATATGATTTCACTTTTCTAACTGTAATTAGCGTAGTGTTGCTGTTTGAGCATTAACAACATGTGCAAATTTACGATGCTCAAAGTTCAAAGCAAAGGAAGATGTTTGCTTCTAAAGAAATCATTTTTTAAGGACAAACGTACGGAGGCGTATTGCATTCACTTGAAGAAAAAAAATCTACTCTGTTTTTCTGTATTAACGAGTTAATTTTTCATGAGAAAAAATTTTTTGCTCTGTTTTTCTGAATTAATGAGTTAATTTTTCATGAGAAAAAAAATTTTGCTCTGTTTTTCTGAATTAACGAGTTTTTGCTCTGTTTTTCTGAATTAATGAGTTAATTTTTCATGAGAAAAAAAAAATTTGCTCTGTTTTTCTGAATTAACGAGTTAATTTTTCATGAGAAAAAAAATTTTGCTCTGTTTTTCTGAATTAATGAGTTAATTTTTAATGGATTTTTTTTTTTTTTGCTCTGTTTTTTCTGAATTAATGAGTTAATTCAGAAAAACAGCAAAAATACATTTTCTCTTGAAAAATTAACTCATTAATTCAGAAAAAACAGAGCAAAAACTTTTTTTCTCAAGAAAACTAACTCATTAATTCAGAAAAACAGAGCACATTTTTTTCTCATGAAAAATTAACTCATTAATTCAGAAAAACAGAGCAAAATTTTTTTTTCTCATGAAAAATTAACTCATTAATTGAGAAAAACAGAGCAAAAAAAATTTTCTCATGAAAAATTAACTCATTAATTCAGAAAAACAGAGTAATTTTTTTTTTCTCATGAAAAATTAACTCGTTAATTCGGAAAAACAGAGTAGATTTTTTTTCTTCAAGTGAATGCAATACGCCTCCGTACAAACGCCTGATAGGAACTACACAAGCTTCCTCATCACTAACCCTAGAATTTACATAAACCCCGCCCCCTGAACATGATTTTTAGATTATCAAGACAGACTACACTAATCAATAAGTAGAAGATAACTACACATAAGCGGCATAAATTCACCAACTAACATTCAGAAATGTCCTGTTTCTCTAGGAATATCTACGGTTGCACCTAGGCCTTCACTTAATCTATTCCCATAGCTTGGTGGATTTCATTAAAAGATTGGCTTTTCGCATCGCTGAAAGTATTCCCATTAAGATGTCCGTTTGTCCACATGATTATGGAAACACACACGTGTTGCATGGAAACTTGGAAAGGGAACATGCTAAATTATCCAGGTTTAGTCATATGCTAAAAAACACCACGTGTTATTTGTATTAAGGAAAAAGATGATTCACCTTCTAAATATGGTGCAGTGAAGCCACCAAGATTTATGCTTTATGAATGCAAATTGCCTCAATTGATTTCCCCTGGTCACAGCTGTCAGTCAATTACTTCTTATCCATGTCAATGTAAGGGAAATGTGTCTTTGGCTCTGGCACTAAAAGAAATATGCAACTAGAAATGATGGTAACACTTTACAGTGAGGTCTCATTTGTTAATGCATTTACTTGCAATGAGCAATATATTTGTTACAGTCTTTATTCCTCGTTGTTAATGCAACAATGCTACAATTTTCTATGTCGTACACGTTTCTTATCAAACAAGTATTCATTATTTCAATGAGCTCATTGTTTCTGCCTTAAATTATTACATTGTTTTAATTAATACATTATTGTACAGTATATGTTCACTTCTGAAATGCATAACTTATCTCTGATAACAGATCACTGTAAAGTGTAATGTTTCTGTAAAGCTGCTTTGAAACGTTGTGTATTGTGAAGGGTGCTATACAAATAAATGTGAATTGAATTGAATTCATGTTAGTTTACAAAAACACAACCATTCATTGTTAGTTCATGTCAGCTCAGATCCAATAAATTATATAAGCAGATACAGATTTGGATTTTTATAATGTATTAGTAATTAAAGGATTAGTTCACTTTTGCTGATAATTTACTCACCCCCATGTCATCCAAGATGTCCATGTCTTTCTTTCTTCAGTCGAAAAGAAATGAAGGTTTTTGATGAAAACATTCCAGGATTTTTCTCCATATAATGGACTTCAATGGGAGCCAGACGGTCCAAGTTCGAAAAGACAGTTAATAACAGTTTCAGATGCGGCTTCAAATGTCTTTAAACGACACCAGACGATGAATAAGGGTCTTATCATGCGAAACGAGCGGTTATTTCAAAACTTATTACAAAAATGTAACTTTTCTAAGGACAAATGCTAGCCTTGCTCTATTCTGTGAGGCGCGTTTGTAACGTCACGTAATACGTAATTACGTTCAAAAGGTCACGGGCGACGTAGCCGGAAGTACATTAACATTAACTGAGATTAACCTTTTTTGTTGTTGTTGTTTTCATAGTTAGTTCATGTAAATGTTAACATCTCAGTTATGGATGTAACCCTCGTTCCCTGAGTTGGGTTTATGTTATGTTTTTGCTTCGGAGCCTCTTCACTCTATTCGCTGACTATCTTCGAGAATCTTCCATGGTGTGTTCAACATTCCTGCCAGCTGAACTGTGCAGTGGTCTGCAACAGCGTGTGTGTTTCTCCCCGGGCACTGCTGTGAGCTTTTCTCTCACAGAAAGACATGTCTTTTGAAATACATTCTGCCCGTGTATTTCTGAGTGCGCTAGTCTAATAGATTCAGCTGATGGGCACGAGCGCTGTTTTGGGCTTCAATCACACACCGACAGCGTTCGTGGACGCGACATGTTCTCCCAGCGGGAACACAACCATGAGACTCGATGAGCTCAATAGAGTGAGAGTCCCCTCATCCACACCCCGATACACACTCACCTAAAGGATTATTAGGAACACCTGTTCAATTTCTCATTAATGCAATTATCTACTCAACCAATCACATGGCATTTGCTTCAATGCATTTAGGGGTGTGGTCCTGGTCAAGACAATCTCCTGAACTCCAAACTGAATGTCAGAATGGGAAAGAATGGTGATTTAAACAATTTTGAGCGTGGCATGGTCTGAGTATTTCACAATCTGCTCAGTTACTGGGATTTTCACACACAACCATTTCTAGGGTTTACAAAGAATGGCGTGAGAAGGGAAAAACATCCAGTATGCGATGGCAGTCCTGTGGGCGAAAGCGCCTTGTTGATGCGAGAGGTCAGAGGAGAATGGGCCGACTGATTCAAGCTCACAGAAGAGCAACTTTGACTGAAATAACCACTCGTTACAACCGAGATATGCAGCAAAGCCACAACACACACAACCTTGAGGCGGATGGGCTACAACAGCAGAAGACCCCACCGGGTACCACTCATCTCCACTACAAATAGGAAAAAGAGGCCACAATTTGCAAGAGCTCACCAAAATTGGACAGTTGAAGACTGGAAAAATGTTGCCTGGTCTGATGAGTCTCGATTTCAGATGGTAGAGTCAGAATTTGGCGTAAACAGAATGAGAACATGGATCCATCATGCCTTGTTCCCACTGTGCAGGCTGGTGGTGGTGGTGTAATGGTGTGGGGGATGTTTTCTTGGCACACTTTAGGCCCCTTAGTGCCAATTGGGCATCGTTTAAATGCCACGGCCTACCTGAGCATTGTTTCTGACCATGTCCATCCCTTTATAGCCACCATGTCCCCATCCTCTGATGGCTACTTCCAGCAGGATAATGCACCATGTCACAAAGCTGGAATCATTTCAATTTGGTTTCTTGAACATGACAATGAGTTGACTGTACTAAAATGGCCGCCACAGTCACCAGATCTCAACCCAATAGAGCATCTTTGGGATGTGGTGGAACGGGAGCTTCATCCCACAAATCTCCATCAACTGCAAGATGCTATCCTATCAATATGGGCCAACATTTTGGTTCTCAACATCTTGCCTTCAGTGTATTAATTAATGACAGGAGTGAATGTGTTTCAAAATGTTGTGTTTTTATCCTTCAACATCCAGTGAAATGGTAGTGAGTGATGCATCTGTTCCCTCAAAATCCAATCAGAAGTGTCCAGAGGATGGGCCTCAGCTGTTGTGGGTCACCCGAGCTGGACGCTGATGCCAAGGTCTTTGGACGAAAGCCTCGGCCACATGAATAAATGTAGACGTAGAGGTGCTAAACAAGAGCCGTCATACGAGCCTGAGCAATTGAGGAAATCACCAAGATGAACATTATATCTCACATGCTCCGGTACCAGGTTTGATAATGCCATTGTTAGATCATCACCTCAAATGCTTGTTAAATGCAGTGAAGATCAGATTCAGCAGCTCCGAGGGAGTGTGTGTTTGCATGAGCCACAGATTGACAGAGAATAGTGCTGTTATTTCCCCTGTGGTCACAGTGATGAGCCGGAGATCGACTGATCCACACTCAGAGAAGGGAGGAGAGAACGCTTCCTTACCAAATTAAATATATGTGCAAGTAGTAAAGTAGCAAGTATGTAATTTAATTAACTGGGCAGTACAACAAACACTAGTAACATTATGTATTTAAATAATATAATATATATTTAAACTGTATTTTTGCATCAAAATATTGCGAGTGTGTGTGCATGCATGCGTGTGTGATTATGGCAAATATTTGGGAGGGAAATATGCTTTGTTGAGATGCAATGCTGGGAAATTTCTCTAAATATTAAATATAAATTCCCCTAAATATATATTTTTATATTATAGATTTTGGAGTGAGATTTGACATGTTCTTAATGGCTTTCTAAATAAGTAAATATGAAGTTTGGCCGTTTGCTGACTGATAAAGCTTGTGTTTTATACTGGCACCTGTCTGATGTTACTAGTCATCAACACAGCTGTTCGCGGTGAGTCATATGAGCATCAGGGTTATTGCTCTATGCCTATATAATTATCAAATTGTCAGCAATTACCTTCAGTTTGTTTTCATTCCTCACGCGTCTTCTTTGTTCAGATTCCCGCCACTCGTTTGTCTCCTTGGTTACCGTTACCATTAGTTCATACGTGTCAGCTGTAAGTGATTAATTATCCTCGTTTGCGTTACTCAATAGAGTGCCGAAATTGTCTCTTTGTAGGCCAAAACACGGAAGTGAGTTAGCATTTTAGCACTTCCGGTTCCCTCGCTCTAAAGTCTAGCTATGGGATTTTTGAATGGGGTTTTGTTAAATCGCCTGAAAGGTCTGTGGTTAACAAAGCCTCTAAATATTTTCACGTTTTGATCTATGACGAAAAAAAACCCGAAAAAAAACAGTTATAACCTGCTTGTGTTTTTTAAACTTTATTGTGTCTGCTTGTGTTTTTTTTTATTTTACTTTATATAGGGTGAATTGCCCTAATGTGGGACATTTTTTGCACTTCATATTTTGTGACATATTGCAACGTGTAACGACAACTTTAAATCCACACCAAATACCATTTTAAAAACCAGTATGTGTATTAATCAAATCTAAAGCAAAAATTCAGATAACCCATTCATAAGAGAAATTATAGACATATTAGTGCTCTTATTGCAAGTTGTCTGAGAAAATCTGTGGCTTCCTAATATGGGACAGTTGTGCCCCTAATGTGGGACACTGAAAAATCTATGATAAAATACCAAAAATCACATTGATACATGTAGTAAAATCTTATTTTATTCTCTCTTAAATCTTAGTTAGCAATTTTCTTTGTTATGAATGAAACAAGTAAAATAACAAAATCTTTGGTCATATTTATCCATTTACAGTAAACCAGTATTACAATCCATAAACAAAACCATTGTATCAATTATAGTGATGCATTTGAATAACATCTAAAAAATAAACAGAAACACTTTGGACCAAAATAATTTGGTATAATTACAACAAAAAAATAAATAAATAAATAAATAATGGATAAACCCCTTCTTTAGTACTAATAAAATCATTACATGGCTAATATATATTTATTATTTTAAAGTGAGTTTCTTTGACTTATTTTTTAGGAATTACATATTAATATCTGACCACAGATTCTGAAAAATCTCATGAAAATCCTGTTTCCATTTCATCAATGCCTACATGAAACATTTTTTTCTTTAGTTAAAATAGAAAAATGTTTAAAACATGCCTCACCACACATTTTTGACTCATTGAAGTACTGTCCCACATTAGGCTGATCATACTGTCCCGGATTTGGAAACCACATTTCCTAATATGGGACACTAGGAAATTTGATAAAAAAATATAAAATATATAGTTTATACACATAAAGTTACACTATTTTTTTTTTGATGGACAAACATTTCATAACCACATTAGGCTCAAAAGTAGCAGGATTGCTTTGTTTAAAAGCAATTTAACTCCTTAACATAAAATTTGTTAAAACTCAATGTCAATAACCTTCGGATGGTCTTCACAAAAGGTCTCTCCTGTTTGATGATCGCTCCATCCTCAAATATGATTGGACATTTGATAGGTCATGTGATTTTGGTCACATGACACCACCCCATACGTGTAAGGGTCGCAACTCTTTGTTGAACACAGATCTTATTTTTTGTGATTTTCCAAAAGTCTATGGGGAAAATGCTTAGCTTTTCGATGGAGGGATCCCAGTTGTCCTACAAAGTGACGTCATCACTTCGACACTCTATAACCCAGATACGCTTACTTAATGGCAGTATCTGCTAAATGTATCGTCACAAAATTATTATTATTTCAAACTATTAAATGCATACATTTATACAAGTGTTGTGTTGATGAAGATCGATAGCATATCCACATCACATATTCACAACAAGACACACTCACACCATTACACACATACGACCGGCAACGTTTTTAATATTTATTTCACTTTTGGCAAATGCTGCGAGTAAAAACATTTAAGTAAAGCATAGATAAAGTGAATAAGGTCTATTTTAGAGCATTAAACAAGCAAAATGTTACAAAAATATTATATATTTACTTTCTCTTTCACACTAAACAGTTCAGATAGTTGTAAGGATGTAAGCATCATGTGACTGTGGACTCATGGGAAGTTTGCCTGAAGTATGGATCCGCTCCGGCGAATGTTCGGTTAACCGAAGGACAGCCACATCTGAATTCACAAAGAGAGAGAGAGAGAAGATATTAAGCCTCCTGAAAACTCATTTTCATAACACTATATTCATTTTTATCTTCGTAACGCACAATAATCCTCTACGAAATTGAATCTGTCAGCTACCTAATTGAAATATAGAGTTTTTAAGTTCCCTGTTCATCTCGCTTTTTCATTTCCAATTTGCTCTGAGTGACTATTTGTGCTGTCATGTTTTGTAAATGCAATGAATCACACGCCAGTGCGTTTGCTGATCACTAATTAATGCGCCCCGATGTCAGAGATTCACTTAGCATGAATACACATGATCCTGATGTCACTCAACCACATGCTTTTCAACCACATTCGTTAATAACAAATTAATTATTAATTAATAAATTAATTAATTCTTTTTCAACCACATTCGTTAATAATAACAATCTCTGAGATAAAAAAGTGCATGAAAGTAATACAATTTAGCACAGTCATAACACTAGTCAAAAGTTTTTGATCGGTAAGATTTGTTGTGTTTTTAAAAAGAAGTCTCTTCAGCTGCATTTATTTGATTAAAAATACAATAAAACAGTAATTTTGTGAAATAGCGTTACATTTTAAAACAGCTGTTTTCTACGTAAATATATAAAGATTTTTCAGCGTTATTAATTCATGCTTAACTACTGCACAGATAATACTAAATTAATGCGTAACTAATGATTATTTAAGCTATTCATTAATGATTACCACATTAGGAACTTAAATTAAGAGTCTGTAAGGTTAATGTATTAGTTCATTCATGAATTGTTATTAATTAAATATGTAATTGTGGATTAATTCCATAATAACTATTTTTTTTAACTAATAAACTTTCATATAATATGACAGGTACACTAATATGCATTAATACATGATTAATTACTTCATTGTTAGTGCAAATTCATGTGCAAATTACTAAATGACTAGTTAATAATGATGTGCCCCATCAAGTAAAGTCATAACATAATGATACCTTTGCAAATCATTAGCTAATGACTAATTAAAGCAGACAACTGGAAGGTGAAGTGCATAGCTTTGGCTAATTGTGGTAATTAACACATTAATTTACACTATTAGTTAATAAAATATGTTATTAAGGAATTAATACACAATGACACATTGAATTAATAGCAATTCATGTATTACTTCATCGTATATTAATCGTATAGAATCTTTATTTTGTTGATGCGGTAATCATTAATTAATGGTTTAGTTCTTCATGAGTTCTACATTAACTCATGATTATCAGAGCATTAGTTAAGCATGAATTAATGCATATTAGTGCACCCGTATTGTAAAGTGTTACTAAATTCAGCTTTGGTCACAGCAATAAATTACATTTTAAAATATATAAAAATAGAAAACAGTTATTTTAAATTGTCATATTTAACAATATCACTCTTTGTTTGTTTTTAATCCAACTCTGGTGAAACTCAAAAAATTGAATATCGTGCAAAAGTTCATTTAGTTCAGTAATTCAACTTAAAAGGTGAAACTAATATAGACTCATTACATGCAAAGTGAGATATTTCAAGCCTTTATTTGTTATAATTATGATGATTATGGCTTACAGTTTATGAAAACCCCAAATTAAAAATATTGTGAAAAGATTTTCATATCTGTACGTCATAATCATCAAAATTATAACAAATAAAGGCTTGAAATATCTCACTTTGCATGTAATGAGTCTATATAATATATTAGATTCACCTTTTAAGTCTAATTACTGAACTTTTGCACCATATTCTAATTTCCCGAGTTTCTCCTGCTGAGCCGAAGACACTTCATCTAAAAACATAATCGTGCTGATCTAAAAGCTTTGCCTGGTGGTGTGTGTGAAGAGAGAGAGCTGACTTTCACAGAGGATAGAAAGCGTTGTTCAGGCAGTCGGAGTAGAAGTCACTGCAGTCCCGATCAAAGTCTCCATCATCTGGACCCTGCGTGAGCGGCTCCACGTCTTCATCCGAGGTTGAGGGGTGTGTGAGGATGATCCGAGGAATCTGTCACAGCCAGCCGAGAGCAAATGACATTTCACACAGCGGTCGGGAACCAACCTTTAAAATGAGTGTTTTCCTGCTAAAGCTATGCAGTGTGTTTCTTAAGCTTGTCTCGGGTAGAACAAACATTAGTCACACTTTGTATTGGGTGTCTTTGCTATATGTATGCCTACATAAAAAAAAAAAATGCATTTTTACGGTTAGGACAGGTTTGCTAGTACAGTACGGGTCAGCAGTTTAACTACAGAAATGGATCACAGCTGTATATGCAGGTATTTCTAAATTAAATACAGTGTAAAAACATGTAAGCCTATATTGCATTGTATCAATTGATGACACTACATGGACACTACATTCGGACATAGACATCATTTCAAATTGGCAGTATTTTCTGTTTTCTCTACTGTATAATAGCAGAACTGAGGGGGAAAAAGAGAATAAAATGATTTATCGGTAACATTTTGTTTCGATGGTCCACTTTAGATATTATACTGACTACAACATGTCAGCTTATTCTACTAACAGTCTAGTTATACTCCAGTCAGAGAGTTAGTATCTAAAGTTGACTATCGAAGTAAGTGTAACTTAAGTGCACGTCACTATTTTTATTATTTTTTTCATTCATGTGGACTCAAATAAGATCGCAGCAATTAGCAAATGATGATACAATCAATTCCCGATAGACAAACCAAGTCCCGTTACACATTTTTCTAGTTTGAGAACACATTTCGTTCAGATTTATGTCAAAAATAGGAAGAAACGATCACAGATTCTGTTTCACGCTGACTTGAAAACAAATAAATTAGGGCTGTCAAACAATTAATCGCGATTAATCGCATCCAAAATAAGTTTGTTTACATGTACTGTGTATAATTATTTTGTACATATAAATACACACACATGCATGTATATTTAAGAAAAAAAATTAATATAAAATATATTTTTATATAATATAAAATATATATAAATCTATATACATGAAAATATTTCCTAAATTTATACAAGTGTGTGTATTTATATATATATATATATATATATATATAAAATAATTATACACAATGCACCCACATATATTATGTAAACACAAATCTTTATTTTGGATGCGATTAATCATTTGACAGCAATAAAATAAACTGATCAAAAAAGCACTATACTAAATGTCCTGGAAAACAAGATGAGATCTGAGATTTTTGAAGGGAAAAAAAGGATTTGTTTTTATTAAGATGTTTAGATAGGACAAAGTTTGTTTAGAATTGGTTACAGTTTCTGTTTCTCCATTATTTTCTTCTATTGTAAAGTCTATAAAGTTTCAGATGTTTATTTCTTCACAGAGACTGAATGAAACAACACGAATGAAGGACAAAATGTGAGATTTCATGGTTAAAGCGCTTTCTATCCTCCGCACGTACCGTCATGGTGTTTTTCACAACCTGCAGAGCGTTGTTTTTGAAGGTCTCCGTGTCTTTCATTGGCCGTAAGTCCTGGACTGGTTCATTCTGACCAAATAACACGAAGAACATCAAGAGAAAAAACAGGAAAATTACTGTTCCAAAACCACGAGTATTGATTTTAACAATAGTCAAATCTAGCACTTCAATGGGTCTAATCAAGGGGCTGTTTACATGACAACGTTTTTAACTAAAAATGTAAAACTTTTCATGTGTTTTGGCCACAAACTTCTGAAAAAGTGTTTTTGAAAACGGTTTCTGTGTAAATGACAAAAAAACGAATCCCTAAAGACGATGACGTCATGCACATGTGTGTCACGTAGGAATGTAACGGTTCACGAAATTGACGGTTCGGTTTGATAAAATACACTTGTGTCACGGTTTGGTTCGGTACGTTTTCGAGACAGCAGAAAGAAAGAAATGCCAGAGAAATTTCCTTCATTTATTTTTTTTTATTATATCTTTATTAAAACTAACATCATAAAGTATGATATTATTTTACTTTGAGCAATGATGGAGCTATACTTGACTTTAGAGCATATAAAACAAAACAGCCCCTTGGACAACATGAAATGTAATCATGTAGTAGTTATAAACAGGTTTATTTTAGTTCAGATTAACATTTGAGGACAGCAATTGTGTTCATAAAGTCAAAATAAAACCGATGTGATGTTACTTGAAAGCATTATACGATTGTAGCGACTTACAATTGCTGTATTTCACAGGTTGCGCGCCTCTGGAGCAATTAGGGGTTAAAGGAGTAGTTCACTTTTGAAAAAACTTTTGCTGATAATTTACTCGCCCCCATGTCATCCAAGATGTCCATGTCTTTCTTTCTTCAGTCGAAAATAAATTATGAAAACATTCCAGGTTTTTTCTTTACTGGCGACCAAACGGTTCAAGGTCTAAAAGACAGTTTCATTGCAAACTGTTCAAAGGGCTTTAAACGACACCAGACGATGAATAAGGGTCTTATCAAGCGAAACGATCGCTCATTTAATAAATAAATAACAAAGTTTACGTTTTATTAGAACAAATGCTCGCCTTGCTCTGTTCTGTGATGCGCGTTCATGACTCTCCTGTTCGAACTCGTTCATCAAAATGAACGAATCTTTTTCAGAGTCATTTGGTTTATTCAACGAACGTTTCATTTTGATGAACATGAGAGTCACGAACGCGCGTCACAGAACAGAGCAAGGCGACCATTTGAGCTTATAAAACATAAACTTTGTTATTTATTTATTAAATGAGCGATCGTTTCGCTTGATAAGACCCTTATTCATCGTCTGGAATCGTTTAAAACCCTTTGAACAGTTTGCACTGAAACTGTCTTTTGGACCTTGAACCGTTTGGTTACCATTGAAGTCCATTAGATGGAGAAAATCCTGGAATGTTTTCATCAAAAACCTTAATTTCTTTTCGACTGAAGAAAGAAAGACATGGACATCTTGGATGACATGGGGGTGAGAAAATTATCAGCAAAAGTTTTTTGAAAAGTGAACTACTCGTTTAAGGGCCAATCCCAATTCTACCCCTTACCCCTTCCCTTTCCCCTAGCCCTACCCCTTCGCCTTCCCCTTGACCCTTGAAACAGAGTGGCAATGCGTAGGGGTGAAAATATTCCCCTAAGAAATGGGACACCACTACGCCTCCGTTAAACGTCATTATAAGTCGTCGCTAGCGCCTACGTCACAGGATATGCGCCGATGTTTATCACAACTTCCAAGATCCCGTCGACAGCTGCAGTTCTCTCAGTCGCGTGGGTTACAGCTATTTTCTTGCATCTTGTGAAGTTCGCAGGAAACAACGGAGACGACGAAAATATGTTGCGGGACTATCGTTAGCAAACTACAGTAATTTTAGCGATTTTTTTTTTTTTTTTTTTTTTTACAAACGTTTCTGTGAAGAAACTGATCATAAATATGAACACAATATTGAATGTAACATAAACCAAATCATTATTTGTCGTTATAATACTTATTAAAGCCACAAATACTTAAATTTATGGGTCTCCTTTGTTGCTTGGGCAGCCAGCCTGGGTTAGCAGTGACACTTCTCATACCCCTTCGTTTGAAGTGTGCTCCCGAAAAATCTTCGTTTGAAGGGCTATCTGGCCCTTCACCCTAGCCCTCCCCCTCCAACCAAAAGAGAATTGGGACAGCCCTACCCCTTCACGTGGACGCGCAAAACGGAGGGGAAGGGGAAAGTGAAGGGGTAAGGGGTAGAATTGGGATTGGCCCTAAGTGTCTTGCTCAGGGACACATTGGTGTCTCACAGTGCATTCGAACCTGGGTCTCTCACACCAAAGGCAAATGTCTTATCCACTGCGCCATCACCACCCCCAACTAATCCTGCCAAACTCCCATGGTTACAGTTAGTGTTACTACAGTAAACCTATGGTGAATGTTGCTAATCTGTGGACACTGGATAGTTCATTCATGGCACAATGTTTCTCCAAGTCAGTGCTGTTTGATCCGTTAATAACTGAGAAATGCGAATATTTCTCAGCCAAATTCAAATGCTTTCATTACTGGATTTGGCTGTGTAGTAACAGTGCTGCTTAATGGATCAAGATCGACTCGCGCTGCATTGGTCCAAACTGATAAACGGACCGTCAACCACACAATAACGAGTAGCACCGTTTCATTCCGCTTACATTACATTTGCCATGTGTTATTGGGCAATGTTGTGGTCGTGCCAGCATCTCGAGCGCACTTGCCACGCGCCTACATTTAAAATAACTAAATTTTGGTCGGCAGAAAAAAAATGTTCCAACGAACCATTCGGTTTAAAAATGCGTACCGTAAACCGAAAACCTCGTACCGAACGGTTCAATGCGATTAAGTGTATCGTTACACCCCTGGTATCATGTGTTCAGTCTACAGTGTTTCATCGCCATCTACTGGCCTGGCAGCAGAATACAACACTTTTAGTCGTTTTCTCGGATCTGTGAGTGTCTCTGTTTTAAGCGCATCATTGTCGTGTAAACCTACCCTCAGTCTAATTCCATTTCATTGCTTTTATTCCTCTATGGAATATAACAGAATTGCTCTTTTTATATTCTCATCTCTCCAGCCAACGCGTTCTCGTCCTGGGGCGTCATATAGCGACACTTTTGAAATTTCGTCTAAATCCAACGCACATGGCACCCTTTAGCGTCAATATAACCCGCACATAACGAGCTTTGTTGGGTTATGGGTAGATTTAGGTCTGGGGTAGGGTTAGGCTTAGACCACTAGGAGGCGCCTTCTGGCCCATATATTTCTGACGCTGAAGGGTGCCAGACGAAATGTCAGTATATGACGCCTTGGGATGAGAACGGGCTGCTCCAGCCTACCGGTCCGTTTCCGTTGCAGGCCGAAGCTTCAGTCCGGTTGGTCGCTGAGCTGTGGTCCGGCGTGGGATCAGTGGAGGATTGTGGGCCGCCCGATCTGCTATAGCTCACGGGAACATCCCACTCTTGGCTGATCTGCGGGTCGGTCTCCATGCCGTCGGACCTGTCGTTCGCTCGCGGCTCCATGGACACGCATCTCTCCCGTATCACTTTCATCTTTATACAACTCCCAGCATTCCTCAGGACGCTGACTGCCTCATGATGGCTGACCTCCAGCATGTCCAGGCCATTGACCTGGAGGCACAAATCAGAAATGAGCCACAGTGAGTCAAAATTCTGGGTTGTTTCAACCCAACTTTGGGTCAAATATGGACACACTCCGCATTGGGTTAGATTTTTTATTACATTTTTAACCCAATGTTTGGGTTTCTCCATAATTTACCCAAAATTGGGTTTCAACAACCCAGCATTTTTTTGAGTGTGGAAAGACAAATGCCATGAAACCCAAACAATGAGGACAATGCCCACCATTTATACGAGGATATGAACTGGGACCTTCAAGAAGATGTGTGAAATTTCTACACCAAAGAGTATATTGATTGTTCTCACACAGGTTTTCCAATGGTTTGCCCACCTGTCATTTGTAGAATAAAAAGCAAACCTAAACCCAGTTAAGGTTTTGCTGGTCAGATGTGGGAGTCAGCCCACTTTCGCAAGGAACATCTAAACTCCACGAATGCTCCTTCTATTATAGTACACACTACAGTTTATAGTCGTTCTATTTGCTCGACCGTTCCATACCATGCCGATCCGGATATGATTTCATTTTCCACTGTGGGGTTTGAAATTAACTCCCGCCAAATGCGGGTTGGGTTGAGATCTGGTGACTGTGGCGGCCATTTTACTACAGTCAACTCATTGTCATGTTCAAGAAACGAATTTGAAATGATTCCAGCTTTGTGACATGCTGCGTTATCCTGCTGGAAGTAGCCATCAGAGGACGGGGACATGGTGGCCATAAAGGGATGGACATGGTCAGAAACAATGCTCAGGTAGGCCGTGGCATTTAAACGATGCCCAATTGGCACTAAGGGGCCTAAAGTGTGCCAAGAAAACATCCCCACACCATTACACCACCACCACCAGCCTGCACAGTGGGAACAAGGCATGATGGATCCATGTTCTCATTCTGTTTACGCCAAATTCTGACTCTACCATCTGAAATCGAGACTCATCAGACCAGGCAACATTTCTCCAGTCTTCAACGGTCCAATTTTGGTGAGCTCTTGCAAATTGTAGCCTCTTTGTCCTGTTTGTAGTGGAGATGAGTGGTACCCGGTGGGGTCTTCTGCTGTTGTAGCCCATCCGCCTCAAGGTTGTGCAGCTGATAATGTAATGCAAGTGGGGTGAGTCATTGCCTTTGGTAACGCGAGAGTTTACACGCCGTATTAGATGTAAATAGCGACCGCTTTATGTGGCGGATGATCAGATATTTATTTTAACTTGTGTTTACCCCGTTCAAATAGCGCACTTGGCCCGGTATACAGAGAACAGACAAGTGACCAATCCTGAGTGGCGATGTCACTTCGGTTCAGCCAACCACGCTGAGGATTCTGGGCAAAGAACGAGCTCAAGTGGACATTTAAGGGGCTGGACTGTGGAAAAAAACTTTCCTCCCTTTGTCATATCTCAGGATAGTCACTGTGATTGTGTGTGGAAAATACCACAAAGTCACATCAACAATTTTAAAGAAAAAAAAAAACTATGAATATGACTTCTAGATGTCTAAACCTAGGATAAGAGAATTACATGAAGATATCAGATGCGGCACAACTCATGCGTGAGGAAAGAGAGCTTTTAATTTAACTAACCTGAGATGTGAATAACTAATAACCAACAACAGGATATCAAGGTGATTTTAGTGGCAGAATGAAGTCTGATCTGATTTATCAACACTCAAATCCATGTTGTCCTCATTTTTGAGCACTTTATATATTGTTTTAGCATGTAACAAACTTCTTTTTGTGGAAGGTTTTGCTTAAAATGTGTTTGTGCTATGTTTCTTTGAAAGACATTATGCTTTATATTTTTTAGTGTGATGATTTTAAGTGTGACTTGCATGTCTAAATACTCTGCATGCCTGTTGCTTTAAGGCTCATGGGGTCACAGCATCTGTGTAATGATGCCATCCAATGGCCATCGGAGAAACAGCTATACAGGGTCAACAGGAGAAACACAGTCACAATGCACACTTATCTTTCATTGTTCAAAGGCTGTTCGTCCAATTAAGCTCTACTGTATTTTGGCCAAAATTCATGTGTCATTTGGTGAAATATAAAAATGTATGTTCTACTTGCAATGATAAACATGGTGCCCAGACAGCAAACTGACATTGAATCAACGTGGAAACGACGTCTCTCATGACATTGAAACAACGTTGATTTGCTCATCGAATTAACGTTGAACCAACGTCGGACGCGGCATTCTTCAAAGCTAAATGAAATCGAAAATTGGTTTGCTTTCATAACGTTGAAACAACGCGTTGATTTCAAGTTGATTTTGCGTTAGTTTTGAAAGAATGACGCATCTGACGTTGGTTCAACGTTAATTCGATGAGCAAAACAATGTCAGATCAACGTTGTTTCGATGTCATATTTCCACGTTGATTCAATGTCAGTTTGCTATCTGGGTGTGTACTATCCAGATTCAGTTTATTTTATTCAACGCCATGTCAGCAATCAAAGCTATTTTTATGGCAAAAAATAAACTACAAAAATACAAGCACGATGAAAATATTTAACATATTAAACAAGATTGTACTGAACACAAAGGGCTCTATCTTGCACCAAGCACAAATGACTTTATACACAAACGCATGTCTCATTCCTATTTTGCACGCGTGCAAAAGACGACGTCGGTAAACTAGGAAATGAACTTGCGCTCTCTGGGCGGATCGGCGCAAAAAGGAGGCGTGTTTCAGCGCAAACATTCCCTGGTGCTATTTTACACTTTCAGAAAACAATTGCGCCACTGACTTAAGACCAGGATTTTTCTGGTCTTTTTCTGGCGTTGCGCGTTGTTCATAATGCTATTTTAAGCGCGCATGCTTGGCCATAATGTAGCGGGTGCACAACACTTTGATTCTCTCATCAACACAGAGGCAGCAGTTTTTCTTTTTGCAAATCATACATTATAACAAGGAAAAATATTAACACATGAGAGAAATCATTGTGGTTTAAATGAAGATGAAAAAACCTTATTTGTAAAGCCCTGTTCACACCGCCAGCGACACGCAGCGACAAAGCGACAAGATCCCATTCATTTCAATGGAACGCTGGCGACATCCGGCGACACGAGCGACAGTGACCGTTGGCGACAGAATGTGGGCGTGTCAAGCGACAAAAGTTGAGAATTTTCAACTTTATGCAAATGAGAAGCGATTTTCGCGAGCGACAACCAATAAGAAAGACGACTTTCAGTGGAGCTCGTCACCGTCTCGAGTGCAGGGCAGGCAAGACAGAAAGAAAGAGTTTAAGGACGATTTCACTGTTTTATATGATTTGACTGGAACCACATACATGGATAATAAAATGATGCATGGAAAAGAAACTGTCGACAGTCTCAGTGAGTTTAATTCATACATTTAACGTTATAGTTCGAGTGTTTAGCACTGCTGCAGTTCATTTTACAATTTCCCCTGCATTACGTTGACTATTAGGGACAAGAAAAATGATTGTTTGTCAAATTCGAATGACGTTTTTATCATTTGTGACAGTATGAGTGAGTTTGATTTGTTCATTGATCGATCGTTGATCTAGTAAATGATTTAATCCACTGAACACTGCTGTGGAGATATAAAAACACTCTCCAAACAGCATATGGTTTCTTTTTAGCCTTAAAAGTCATTTATTCCCAGTCAAATTAAAATTATATATCACTTGTGATGGTCTTTTGTACAGATATGGCCAGACGTGCAGTCTAGCAATAATATCGGAGCGACAGCACTACGAACGCCCACAAGCGACATCACAGTACAGAGCTGTGATGTCGGGGCTTAAGGCTAATTGTAGTACTGAAGGATCAGACCTGTTTGCCCAATAGTGGCAAGAAACATACGTATATAATGTTTAACCAACGCTAATGTGCGAGGGTTTCTCCCGTCCCCATACAACGTCACCTCTCTGTCTTTCACTGTCCTGACAAGTGATTAATCTGCTCTTAAAGGGTATGTTGGATGGCACTCTGATTGGTTTATTTTTACGTTACGCCCAAACTACACCTATGAATAATGAAGCTACTTCAAACCAACCCCTTTTAGATTTGCGCCAGGCGCAAGAGTCATTTATCCCGCGGGGAAAATAGCAACAGCGCCGGGACCCGCCCACAAAGTTACTTGCGCTTTGACACTTGCGTTTCAGATCCTTAAACTGTACATACATTATGAAGCACTTTTTTTTTTTTACCTCCAGCACTCTGTCCCCAACATGAAGACCGGCCTTCTCCGCTGGTCCACCTTTAGACACCCTGGAGATGAAGATACCCTGAAGAAGACGACAAATCATTTCATCAGTCCAATCACTGGCTGGATGCGCATTAGTATTCCAGTCCATGTGTATTTCCATAGTGTGAATGATAGTAATAGTGTGTAAAGAGATTCAGGCGTTGTGGCTACAGGAAGATAAGGCCTACCTCGTCGTTCTCTTTGTATGGCAAGGAGCCTTTCCCTCCCGCAATACAGATTCCCATTCCTCCTCTCTGACCGTTCACTTTAATCTGTAGCTGGAGGAGCAGAAAACAATTAGAGCAGAATCGCCTACCTCATATACTAATGAGAATCTAACATATAAAAGGTCTACACACGCGTTAAAACAGCTGGTTTATGTGATCTAAAAAATGAAAAAAGTTAAATAATTTCACATTTAATATTATAACCCCTATAACAGTCATGAGGCATTATAACTGTGTCATGAATATTTTTCGTGACCTCAACTACAGTGGTACACATTGAATTTGTCATTACAACGTTATAATGGCTTCATGGCAGCCAATGTCAAAGCCGACAACCTGACAGTTTAATGTAATGTTAACCCATAAAGCTAGGTGCTTTCTTAAGTTTGATCATTAATCTGCTATGTCATTTTTATGACAGGTTGTGTTGTCTTGGTAATGTCAAGTTGTCATGACAAAGACACTGACAGGTTACGATGTATTGGTTTATGTCAAGGTGTCATGACAAAGACATCTCAAACAATGTCATATTTGCATTAAAAAGGTCATAATTGAGCGAATGACACTTAAAGGGTTAGTTCACCCAAAAATGAAAATTAAGCGACGAGAATACTTTTTGTGCGAAAAAAAAAAAAACATAACGAGTTTATTCGACTATTTCTTTTCTTCCTTGTAGGCCAGAACGAGACTTCCTTAGATTTCCACGACGCATGCGCGAGATTTGCGATCTGCTCACATCAGCTTACACCACTTCAGATCGCAATTCTCGCGCATACGTCGTGGAAATCTAAGGAAGTCTCGTTCTGGCCTACAAGGAAGAAAAGAAATAGTCGAATAAACTCGTTATTTTTGTTTGTTTTTTCGCACAAAAAGTATTCGTGTCGCTTGATAAACATATAGTTGAGCCACGGTAGTCACTTGGGATATTTAAACATTTTCTTCATTGACTTTCTGGGCCGTCAAGAGGCAGTCTCTTAGGAGCCAATGTGGTAGTTATACAGCTCTCAAATTTAATCAAAAATATCTTCATTTGTGTTCCGAAGACGAACGAAGGTCTTACGGGGTTGGTACAGCATGGGGGTGAGTAATTAATGACTTAATTTTCATTTTTGGGTGAACTAACCCTTTAATGACAGTTAATCATAAACATGCATAAACCCTTCTTCATATTCATGATATGTGTCATGTTAGTCTTATGTAAAGTGTTCACACCCTTTCAAGTAAAGTGTTACCGAAATAAAATAATGTGAATTCCAGTTATCAAAAGTAACTGCCAGTGTTATAGTCGAGACCACCTCACTCGAGTCCGAGTCGACACCGAGACCAGAGAGAGTCGAGTCCGAGTCGAGACCGGGACCAGTGAGGGTTGATTACCTAATTTACTTTTATTTACTTTTTTTATTTTTTTACTGAATTTACTTAGAGTTGAAAAAATATGATCAGTTTAGGGTAAAAAGGCCACATAGTAGGTGGTGTTAAAAGTAATTTTATTACAATTTGTCATGCGCAGTTGCGCACTAGAAAATCACCAATCACTGGGCGTGTCAATCAATTTAAAGAAATATTTTATTAACATGCATTAATAATCATGAAAAATATTTTTAATTGAACTCGAGTGGACTCGGGAACAAGTCCGAGTCCTAAAAAAAAAAAATGTTCGAGTACGAGTCAATTCCGAGTCCAAATGCACACGAGTCCATGACAAGACCAAGACCATTAAAATATGGTGTCGAGACCGAGTCCGAGACGAGTCCGAGTCTCGAGTACTACAACACTGGTAACTGCAACAAGTTCAAATTCAGGGGAAAAAGAGGTGGACGTTAAATGTAACTTATATTGTAAAATAAATATAAACAATAAAACGAAAGGAGCGGCAGTGGCCGACTGCGGCACATAAGCATTAAAAAATCAGCCATGTAAAATATCCCGGGCTCTCAGCTCCTGCTTCACACCACAGTAATGTTAATAAACCTTTACTACAGTAACTTATCCATGACCATGATTCCCGTCGGATTGCTTTCCATCAGCTGTGGAGGTGAAGACAACAAATCCTACGTTCATCCCTGGCATCATAAAGTTGTGAATAAGCGTCCTCTATAGCGAAGCGCCTTTAAGACTGGATGGGCAGGCGAACCCATGAAATTACATTTAAGTGAGCTTGTGCTAAATGAGTGTCTCTCACTTTGTGATTCTCCAAGTCATCAGCCTCCTCCAATCCTCCAATAGCCTAGTCTGACATGCCATTGACATTTTAAATGTTTAATAGGAGTCTATAAATTTGTGCAGAACTATGAATGTGTTTCTAAATGGATGTCCACCCTATCATTCACGATTCATTAGTTCACCTCCACCTCCTGTGTAGTAAATCATCCAGAACAGATGGAACTAACGGAATGGCAAATTAGATCATTCTTTTAAATACATTTGACACCATACATATTTAATCTATCTGAAGTTAATAGAAACGTATTGCCTCAATACACCACAAAGCAAATGATTTCTTTGTGTGCTGAACCGTTTGGTTTGAATCTGTTGAAGGTGGGATCAAGATTTTTGAGCCAAATGGAATTTGAATGCAACTTCAAGACAAACAAAAATGATAATTGAGTTCCTTAATTATTGTAGGTGCAAAATTAACAGTGTTTCCTTTTGGTGAAATCCACTGTTTTGAGGCAAAACCGTCATTTAGTCTTCTCCATTCGTCATTTAGCCTACGCTATTCGTCATTTAGCCTTCGCCATTTGTCATTTAGCCTACACCATTCGTCGTTTAGCCTACGCCATTCGTCATTTAGCCTACACCATTCGTCATTTAGCCTTCGCCATTCGTCATTTAGCCTACGCCATTCGTCGTTTAGCCTACGCCATTCGTCATTTAGCCTACGCCATTCGTCATTTAGCCTACACCATTCGTCATTTAGCCTACGCCATTCGTCGTTTAGCCTACGCCATTCGTCATTTAGCCTACGCCATTCGTCGTTTAGCCTACGCCATTCGTCATTTAGCCTACGCCATTCGTCGTTTAGCCTACACCATTCGTCATTTAGCCTACACCATTCGTCGTTTAGCCTACACCATTCGTCATTTAGCCTACACCATTCGTCATTTAGGCCTACGCCATTCGTCGTTTAGCCTTCACCATTCGTCGTTTAGCCTACGCCATTCGTCGTTTAGCCTACACCATTCGTCATTTAGCCTACACCATTCGTCATTTAGCCTACGCCATTCGTCATTTAGCCTACGCCATTCGTCGTTTAGCCTACGCCATTCGTCATTTAGCCTACGCCATTCGTCATTTAGCCTACACCATTCGTCATTTAGCCTACACCATTCGTCGTTTAGCCTACGCCATTCGTCATTTAGCCTACGCCATTCGTCATTTAGCCTACACCATTCGTCATTTAGCCTACGCCATTCGTCGTTTAGCCTACGCCATTCGTCATTTAGCCTACGCCATTCGTCATTTAGCCTACGCCATTCGTCGTTTAGCCTACGCCATTCGTCATTTAGCCTACGCCATTCGTCGTTTAGCCTACACCATTCGTCATTTAGGCCTACGCCATTCGTCGTTTAGCCTTCACCATTCGTCGTTTAGCCTACGCCATTCGTCGTTTAGCCTACGCCATTCGTCATTTAGCCTACGCCATTCGTCATTTAGCCTACACCATTCGTCATTTAGCCTACACCATTCGTCGTTTAGCCTACGCCATTCGTCATTTAGCCTACGCCATTCGTCATTTAGCCTACACCATTCGTCATTTAGCCTACGCCATTCGTCGTTTAGCCTACGCCATTCGTCATTTAGCCTACGCCATTCGTCATTTAGCCTACGCCATTCGTCGTTTAGCCTACGCCATTCGTCATTTAGCCTACGCCATTCGTCGTTTAGCCTACACCATTCGTCATTTAGCCTACACCATTCGTCGTTTAGCCTACACCATTCGTCATTTAGCCTACACCATTCGTCGTTTAGCCTACACCATTCGTCATTTAGCCTACACCATTCGTCATTTAGGCCTACGCCATTCGTCGTTTAGCCTTCACCATTCGTCGTTTAGCCTACGCCATTCGTCGTTTAGCCTACGCTATTCGTCATTTAGCCTACGCCATTCGTCATTTAGCCTACGCCATTCGTCATTTAGCCTACACCATTCATCATTTAGCCTTCGCCATAAGCCTTCGCCATTTGTCATTTAGCCTACGCCATCTGTCATTTACCCTACGCCATTCGTCATTTAGCCTACACCATTCGCCATTTAGCCTTCGCCATTCGTCATTTAGCCTTCGCCATTTAACCTTTTCCATTTGTCATTTAGCCTTCGCCATTAGCCCTCGCCATTTGTCATTTTTCCTTCGCCATTTGTCATTTAGCCTTTGCCGTTCTCCATTTAGCCTACGCCATTAGTCATTTAGCCTTCGCCATTCGTCATTTAGTCTACGCCATTCGTCCTTTATCTTTCGCCATTCATCATTTAGCCTTAGCCATTAGTCATTTAGCCTTCGCCATTAGTCATTTAGCCTTCGCCATTCGTCATTTAGCCTTCGCCATTAGTCATTTAGCCTTCACCATTTGCATGCGATGTCTTTGCATGCGAAGGCCGAGGGAATCTGTTCAACGTTTTAGAAAATATTAATTTGTTAACACAACACAACTGAATCGTTTTAGCATTTAATGAGATATGCATTATATGTCCATTTTAATGTAAGCTTTTTGTGAAAATGATGTGCACTGGGAAATTGTGTCGCAGATGTGGCGCGTTAAGGTGCAGTTTAGCCCTGCGGTGTCCAATGATGATGGTTTACATTCATTTGCGGAATACATGGAAGACTGAAATGATGCAGGATTTATATTATTCTTCCTATACTATAAGTAATGTTCCTATAATATATAAAATCCTGCAATAGTGGCAGTATAGGCGTTACTAATGTATGTTCTTGCTTCGGTTCATAATTCAAAGGCATTGCAGTAACTATTAAGATAAAGTTTTATTATAAGCAACAGTTATTCCAATTTGGGGTTGGGTTTTTCCAATTGTTATCAAAAAGTTTAACAATGAAACACCATTTTCCATGCACCACTAGCAATTGCAAAAAGCGATACACATAATAACAGTGTAATGTAACTTTTATCACAAATTGTTCTGCTGCCGACTCATTGTCTGTCTTCTTACTCTTAATGGCACTTGTGAAATGAGTGATTGGTGGAGACCGGGTCGATCGGACAAAGCTAGATGGCCAAACTTCTCTGATCCGGTGTGGCCTTCTGGGTCGTTGGCCGTGTCCCGGGGGAGATGGGTCACCAGGCGTTGAGTTTTGCATCTCTGCAGCTTCCGGTCATGGCCGTTCTCTCCCCACTGAGGCTTTGGTCTGCGTCCCGCTCCCTCCAACTCTGAGAAACGACCCAAACTGTACTGATGGAGAAGATTGTTTGATTGAGTGTTTTCAAGTGTAAATACCATGGTAAATGAATATGGTATTTATAATTTATGTTACGACTGAAAATCTATATCTACTCTGAAAAATCCAGCACTGCTGGTCATCATTATAAGGTACAGGGGTTGGACAATGAAACTGAAACACTGGCCAATGTTGGAGGTTTCACATCTATATGCCTGGCGGCCAATCTTCAGAGTGAAGCACGGGTGGATCAGTGATGGTTTGAGCTCCAATATCATGACAATCCTAATTGTATTTGATGTATTTGACACGACACTGCCGAGGACTACCAAACCCTTCTGGAGGATCATGAGCACCTGATGCTCAAACCGTGTATCAGCATGATCATGCACCAACACACACAGCAAGACTTGTGACAGAAGGGTTTGATGAAGATGAAAGTGACGTTGAACATCTCCCATGGTCTGCACAGTCACCAGATCTGAATATTATTGAGGTGTTTTGGAGGAGCGAGTCCACCAGCATAATATAGTGACCTGGACACTGTTCTGGAAGAGGAACGGCTCATAATCCCTCTGGTCACTGTGAAGGACTTCTATCTGTCAATTGGTGCTGTATTTGGATGCAAAATGAGGCCCTCACCATTCTAACAAATTATTGTGTTGTAAAACCAGGTGTTTCAGTTTCATTGTCCAACCCCTGTATGTTTGGGGTGCTGGTTTACTGGTTCCCAGCATGGGAATCGGTAGTGTTGGAGCAGCTACACCAGCTCAGTGTTGCATGAGAACAGCAGGACTATACTGGTCCACCAGTATTATACCAGCTCTAACCAGCATAAACCAGCCTCTAGATCACTTTCTATTGCACCCATGAGTTTGTAGAAAGAAGAAAAACGTCAAGGAATAGATGTTCCACAGAAGAAATAACAGCATAATTGTAATTTTTATTTGCTTTGGTAATATTTTCAAAAGGTGTACATTTTCCAAATTCTTAAGAGAAAAATCTAAACTGTTCACACTTGGATCACCTCTAGTCCTTATTTCAACCCTAATCTCCTGCTTTACAGTTATACATGTTTTCTTAAACATGTAACATGAGTAAAAACTTCGCACCATAGGAACCTGTTCATAGTTCCTAGAACTATTGGCAAAATTTCACGGATTTTGGCGTGTTCATACCAGCACTATAGGATCTAGCCATGATGTTAGTGTTCGCTGATTGGCTGAACGCACGCAAAACACCAGCACCCGCCATTATTAAAAAGGCTGTGTACACAGATTATAGCCTATATATTTACTCCAGAAACTAACTCTACGAACATGGAAAACAGTGATAGATGAGTGTCTTAACCTTTTGCGCTAAGGAGAAAACCCAGAGCAACTTTGAGGAGACCAAGCCAAACATGATCATGTATTTCTGCTCAGCAACACACAAACTGCATTTTCTATGTATAACATTTCTATCTAATAACGCATTAGACAGATCGTAAACGAATGTACATGGAGAATGCGAGCGCTGTAAGCTCAGGCTCTGTCGTTCTCAGCGCCGTCAAAACAAGTCACAACAACTTACTAGTCACGCTAAGATGCAAAGAGGAAAATGTCCATAAGGGAACCACCCCGGTGGATAGTTCCTAGGACTACCTGGTGCGAAAGCCCCTAATAAGTGTATTTATCAGTGGTGGAGCCCCTACTGAGAAATGTCCTGATGAAGTCATCCTTGCGATGGAGGTTTGAGTTAAATAACTGGTTCTTCCAATGTTCCATCATTAGATTCGTTTTTGGATTGGTGTGATGAAATCAATGCCATCGTTAATGTCTTTACAGTGTGAACAATTGCTTAGCCTTAGGAAGCCTCCGGAGCTGAAATTCAGTTATGGTAATGGGCGTTTTATTTCAGACATGCGCTGTACGCGGTAGACCAATCAGAGTGGACCAATCACAACAGACAGGTTCATCTGACCAATCAGAGTGGACCAATCACAACAGACAGGTTCATCTGACCAATCAGAGTGGACCAATCACAACAGACTGGTTCATCTGATCAATCAGAGTAGACGAATCACAACAGACTGGTTCATCTGACCAATCAGAGTGGACCAATCACAACAGACAGGTTCATCTGACCAATCAGAGTGGACCAATCACAACAGACAGGTTCATCTGACCAATCAGAGTGGACCAATCACAACAGACAGGTTCATCTGACCAATCAGAGTGGACCAATCACAACAGACAGGTTCATCTGACCAATCAGAGTGGACCAATCACAACAGACAGGTTCATCTGACCAATCAGAGTAGACGAATCACAACAGACTGGTTCATCTGACCAATCAGAGTGGACCAATCACAACAGACAGGTTCATCTGACCAATCAGAGTGGACCAATCACAACAGACAGGTTCATCTGACCAATCAGAGTGGACCAATCACAACAGACTGGTTCATCTGATCAATCAGAGTAGACGAATCACAACAGACTGGTTCATCTGACCAATCAGAGTGGACCAATCACAACATACTGGTTCGTCTGACCAATCAGAGTGAACCAATCACAACATACTGGTTCGTCTGACCAATCAGAGTGGACCAATCACAACAGACTGGTTCATCTGACCAATCAGAGTGGACCAATCACAACAGACTGGTTCGTCTGACCAATCAGAGTGGACCAATCACAACAGACTGGTTCATCTGATCAATCAGAGTAGACGAATCACAACAGACTGGTTCATCTGACCAATCAGAGTGGACCAATCACAACATACTGGTTCGTCTGACCAATCAGAGTGAACCAATCACAACATACTGGTTCGTCTGACCAATCAGAGTGGACCAATCACAACAGACTGGTTCATCTGACCAATCAGAGTGGACCAATCACAACAGACTGGTTCGTCTGACCAATCAGAGTGGACCAATCACAACAGACAGGTTCATCTGACCAATCAGAGTGGACCAATCACAACAGACTGGTTCGTCTGACCAATCAGAGTGAACCAATCACAACAGACTGGTTCATCTGACCGATCAAAGTAGACCAAACACATCTGACCATTCAGAGAAGACTGGGTCATCTGACCAATCAGAGTGGACCAATCACAACAGACTGGTTGATCTGAACAATCAGAGTAGACCAATCACAACAGACAGGGTCATCTGACCAATCAGAGTGGACCAATCACAACAGACTGGGTCATTTGACCAATCAGAGTAGACCAAACACATCTGACCAATCAGAGTAGACAAATTACAACAGACTGGGAATTAAAATAAACTGTAATGACTGAATTTTCACTTGCTCAAGCCAAAGATGACAGACATAACCACATTGGTCTTACATCATCAGATGACTCTTCCATCTCTTCTGCATCTTTTTCCGGACTGGAGCTGCGGCTGGTGGTGCTCGGGAACAGACGCTCCTTCCCCGTGACCCGACGCTCTTTCCCCGTGACCCAGCGCAGGCCAGGAATCGCCCAGCCGTAGTTCACAAAGGGTTTCGCAGCCCTGCACGCCTGTAGATGACACACAGAAGTGACTAAACACCCTCGGCTGCTTGCTTTTCAAAAATATCACCTTTAGAAAATGAATTTATTTATTTATTTCATTTTGAGCAATATAGTGACATATAACAAAGGCAATAAGAAGGATTTGATTCTTAACAACATAAATCAGTCAATCAAGCCAATAAAAAATATTTAGTGCACTGCTAGCATGTTTTATGCTGTCCTTGTAACTGCGTCACTTTGAAGAAACTAGACAGCTTGCTAACAAACACACATGAAGCAGTTTATCCTTCCAGAATGTTTACTTCTGTGATCCTTTTTCTTATTTGTAAAACTGAAATACAATAAACAAGAAATGAAATTACAATTTGTACATTAATCTGTTTGAAATGCATATAAATGCGTACATCACAATCTGCACGTGCGTACACATGTGATAGAAAACTTCTTTACATTTTCATATCGATCACAAACTTATTTTTCAAGAGGAAAGATTATATTAACCTCTAAACACTTTTAAACAACACTTACAATAGTAAATTAACTTACAGGCATATCTTTATCCAGGGCAAAGACTGTTTGAGCTTCAAATTAAATCTACAGTATGCTGCACGTTGAACTGCTGCTGAACTAATAAAGCAACATTGCAAGTGCCCATGTACAGGAAAAATAACAACTGCAATACTGCAAATGTCCACTGGATCGCGATTATATACCATGACAATGGGCAGAACATGTTTCAACCATTAATAAGCACATTGCTAGCATGTTTTACCATGTTGCCAGCATGATTTAGCATGTTGCTAACATGTTTTTAACATGGATTAGCATAATGCTAGCATGTTCCTAACATGACAACACTTTGCTATAATTTTTCCACATGGTCCATTCTCATTTGTGTTGATACTTCCGAAGTCTCTTTGTCATCTGGGTCTGATCAGGGACTATTTATATATTCCAAAACAAACATGTAAGGCTGAAAGACATACAAAACAGCTGTATTTCATTCAGCCATAGGTATGCAACGGCCATTGGACTGCAAGTTTCACCCTCATCCAAAGGCAGGGTGGGAATATGCAGCTCATTTACATTTAAGGTGGTACACATCAAAACAACTCTTTTTAAAACAGGCCCCAAATATGACATTTTCAAATGGTTATAATAAATTGACTATGAGGTATTTTGTGCTGAAACTTCCCAAATACATTCTGGGGACACCCGAGACAATATTACATCTTGTAAAAAGGGGCATATTAGGTGCCCTTTAAACATGGTTTATACAGCAACTATGGTTTACGGTTACTGAATGTAACTTCAGTTGCCTATTGTAGGATAAAAAATTTTATTAACATGTTTAATTTATATTTCCAATACAATAGTATTTTATATGGAAAAGTTTATAAATGATGAGACCAGGAAATCTCTGCTAATGGTAGGGGCTAATTCGTACGAATTGGCTAATTCGTAACAATTCGTACAACCTCACTCATGTGAATTAGTAAGATTTTTACTAAATCGTACATATTTCACGAGTTGGCCAATTCGGATGAATTCGTACGAATGACCTACCCCTGACCCCGCCCCTAAACCTACCCATCACGTGGGTTTAGACAAATCTTACGAATTCGTACTAGTGAGGTCGTACTCACTAGAACTATAATGTTTTATGCTATATATATGTATATATGGTTTTGTTGTTTTTATATGGCCCTCAAATATTCAACTGATTTGCATGAGATTTGGTGTGTATGACTTAGTGACCCTCGAAATATTTCCAATTAATATTCATCATCTATTAAAAAACACCCATTAGCGCAGATAAAATCACCCTTATGTCCAGCCTTGAGGAGCCTTTTGATTTCCTTTCTAAGAAACATCGCTTGTTTTTGTCTACAGATTGTTACCTTAGCAACCAGAAAACCCTCAATCTCAATCATTACTCGCTCATTAAGCTCTTGAGACTGTGGCTGCATAACTAATTAAGTTTATGAAAAAAAAAAACATCACAAGCACAATTGTCTGAACACTTGAGCAGGCTTGCTGGGATGTGTGCTTCCGTGACATTTCTAATTGAGTGCATTTAGCTTGGATACTCATTTCACTGCATGGCACAGTTTGAATAAAACTCCCTCATTTACCATGCTCATGCATTTATGAATGGTCTTTTATGAGCAATATCCTGATTTTCTTAAAATGAAATATATCATGCATCCAATTGCAACAGAAACTAAATTAAAAAGTTTGCCAAGACAATAAATATATATACATATATATATATATATGAACTAAAAAATAAACCATCACTGAACTTACTTAAGCTGGACTGTGATGCTATTTTCTTCTAGAAACAAATTTTGTTGCTCTCAAATCTCTGTAAAACTGCTTTGAAACTCTCTGTATTGTAAAAAATCGCTGTATAAATAAAGCTGACTTCCCTTTGTTTGAGGGTGAGCCACTATTTCTCACAGGTAAGGCATGCCACATTTTCAACCCAAATTCACGTTTTTGAAGAACTCTTGAGACGATAACGGTATCGTATCATTTTCAAAAGTTTGCGTTTTCAGGCTGCCAGAATGACGTTGTTCTGTAAATGTAAATGTTATGCAAATGTGTCACATGGTGACGTAGATGCGTAAATGAAACGGCAGGACTATAAAATGCAAAACCGTTTCTGAACGGGGAGAGAACAGGGCTCTGTTGGAGAAAATAAGTCCTGGGCTTTGTCTACAGATTTCCTGTAGCTCAGTGCTTGCGACACCAAGGTCATGGGTTTGATTCCCAGGGAAAGCAAGAACTGATAAGTATGTAAATGTGTACCTTGGCTTGAAATGCAATGTAAGTCACTCTGGATAAAAGCTGAATGTCCACTGAATGTATGTCTTTCCAGCTAAATGAAAGGTAATAAAACAGACATAAGTCACCTTTTAAAAAAACTTTCCTTAATTTGTTTTAGTTATTGTGTGCTCACTAATGCATTCATTGTTTTTTGTTGTTGTGTTGGTCGTCCTGGACTTTGTGTGAGTCATTTATCTCATTTATCTTTATATCATGCAATTCTGACTTTATATCATGTCATTCTGACAGCATATCTCTCAAAAGCATTATAAAGTCAGAATTGTGTGATAAAAAGTAGCAATTATCTTTTTATTTTTTATAATGTGGTGGAAAAAAGCTTCCATAGGATATACTGTATAGAGTCTTCATGATTTTAAACATGGTTGTTTATTCCCCTTTATTTAATTTTCACCATTTTTGTATATTAACATTAATCTCTAAACCATTTAATTATTATTTTTATTTAAAAAGTCATTGTTTAATAATGTGTACGTCATAACCTATAGGTCAATTGGTATCATTCAGTCTTAAAGGAGTAGTTCACTTTAAAAAAAAAAAAAAAAAAAAAAAAAACTTTTGCTGATAATTTACTCACCCCCATGTCATCCAAGATGTCCATGTCTTTCTTTCTTCAGTCGAAAAGAAATGAAGGTTTTTGATGAAAACATTCCAGAATTTTCTCCATATAATGGACTTCAATGGGAACCAAACGGTTCAAGGTCCAAAAGACAGTTTCAGTGCAAACTGTTCAAAGGGCTTTAAACGATTCCAGACGACGAATAAGGGTCTTATCAAGCGAAACGATCGCTCATTTAATAAATAAATAACAAAGTTTAAGTTTTATAAGCTCAAATGCTCGCCTTGCTCTGTTCTGTGATGCGCGTTCGTGACTCTCCTGTTCGAACTCGTTCATCAAAATGAACAAATCTTTTTTCGAGTTATTTCATTCAGACTCGAAAAAAAGATTCATTTTCAAAAAACAAGTTCAAACAGGAGAGTCACGAACGTGCATCACACAACAGAGCAATTTCTTTTCGACTGAAGAAAGAAAGACATGGACATCTTGGATAACATGGAGGGTGAGTAAATTACCATCAAAAGTTTTTTAAGTGAACTTATCCTTTAATTATGTTACTATTACGACATCACTTCAGTTCATAGAGAATTTAATTGATTCATTGGACTCTATATAGTGCAGCTCATATGTAGCTTTTTGTCCTGGACTGTTATTTGATTTATCCGTAATCAAACTAAATAGTCCGAATGCATAAACTTGATTTAGCATTTTGACACTTAATCCTCTTACCGTGACTCTTAATAATATGCAACATCATGCAAATGTGTTTTCTCTAGAAACTCAGTCAGTTGTTCTTTCTTCTGAGAGAATAAACTGCAGTTGTCTTGAAAAGAAAGCAAGTCAAAGCCACAGGACGACGAGCCGATCACAGATCACAGCTGGAGACACGCAGATAGCAAGGTGACGTTGATTAAATGTTGAAATTCCATCCATTTTAGTTGAGGTTTATAAATTCAATTCTAAATAATATCGAATCAATGTTGAAAAATCAATGTTAAAATAACAATGGAGGAATCCGAGCTGCTGGGAACTCTGTGATCGATCGCGAGTCCTGACAGAGACGTCCTACCGTCACACGAACGCATGTTATGAATATTAGTTGTTGTTTTTTAAAGAATACAGCATGTATTTTGAAACAAAGTCATTTGTAACATTATCAAATGTCTTTTCTGTAAATTTAACGCATCGTTGGTGAACATAAAACATAAAATGTTGGTGTAAGGTGCAAATATTTGCAGCACATAATTGGAATATGGAATCAGCAAATTGATTGATTTGATGTTAAACTATAGATCAACTTCCAAATGTTGTCTCATGTAGTGTGTGTGTGTGTGTGTTTCTGCAGTGTTTCAGCATCAGAACCAACCGCTGTCTGAAGACTATATAATCATTCTGGAAGAGAAATGTATACATTGACAACACAATATTCAGTTGAAATGATGCAGAAAAGCAGCACAAGCGAGCAGAGGAAGAAGCGCAGGCGGACAAACACTGAGAAACCCAGAGAACAGGTTCAGGAAGACATGAGGGTGAATAAACAACAAGAGATTCTCCATTTCTTTCACATTGATAAGGAAAGAACAAGAGCTGTGGAAAAACATCTGCAGGGTGTCCGATTAATGTCAAATCTACGCATAAATAAAATAATGAATCATACCCGTTGCTTTCATAAAGTCATTTTATTATTTCAGTGGTTAAAATCATAAACGTACTGGCCCAGAAACAGCGCCTGCTTAAGATTGTTTTCTGTGCAGCTTCATCATTTACAATAATAATAATAAAAAAAAACAACAACATTAAAAAACCAAATCTGTCTTTCTTGGAATACACATGAAAACATACAATGTAAAAATGAAGTCCGTAGTGTACCATACACATTTTTCTTTTTTTATTTAAAACCCCAAAAACTGATAGCGTTGTTTGTAAAAGTGCATTCTGGCACGTGGAGGGAAAACCGCTCACCTCGACCCAAGCTGTGGGTTATAACAGCCTAACCGTACGTACATTACGGGAGCGTTTACCCAGCTGGAAGCACAGAAGAAGATCTGCCGGAGTGTTTCAGCTCGCCGTCCTGAAGCGCACTAGCCCTTATTTAGTAAAAACATGTTGTTTACACACACACTGGGTTATGATATAAAGACACACGCGTGATGAAACAGAGCTCACGTTCACAGGAATGAACCGCGTACAACTCTTTGTTCGGATGCTTTTCTGAAGTCCAAGCGATGGGAACGTTTGGTGATTAAGAAACTGGCTAGTGTGTGTGTGTAAAATTGACACCACCTGAGCTGCCACACGTATAAAAGTATCAATATTCACAACAATTATATTTAAAAATCAGTAGGTCCACAAACGCCTGGGCTCCGTGAGTCACCGAAAGAAAGAAAAGCCCCAGAAAATAAAAAAATAGAGCATATATATATATATATATATATATAAATGTCATATTTCTATATTAAAGATTCTGCTAAGACTTGTAGTGCACTAGCTATGGTCAGAAAGCGAGTGAAAAGCACGAGTGTGTGTGTGTGTGTTCTCCGTGGCTGAAGGTCTTTATAAAAGAAGGCACTGGTTCCTGACGCGGATGGAGACGGGGAAGGGCTCTGGTGTTCCCGGGAGAAAACAGTGAGGAATGGCTCAGCGGGACACACACACACACACACACACACACTGGGGAAGAGACATCTCGGAGGGACAGCGGTCACACAGACGTGCTGGTCACGCGCTCCACAGCATTATTGACCTCGTTTTTGTTGGAGTCCAGGCCTTTGGCGGCGATCATGTCCTTGCGGATGTTCTCCGCCACTTTCTTCATGTTCTTGAGCTCGCCGGGGTGAGGAGTGGCCCGTCTCAGCAGCGTCCTCTGAGGAACACACACACACAGGACATGAGGACGACGCTATTCAGCAGGCTAGAGCAAAATTCATGAATTTCAGAACTGGCCTGTGTTCAATTCATGAATTGGAATTTGAATTGAATTTACTCCGTGACTCATTCGTTCGGTCGTGTCGTTTTTGATTCAATGTTGAATTAGAAAAATTAAGAAATTCCTGTTTTGGTTTTAATTTTTTTCCAAAGAAACGAAAAACAAGAACTCAGGCTGATTTTTGGTCCGTTCATTCGTTTTTCGATTTGATCTTGAAAGGAGAAAAATGAGAAAACGGCTCATTTACTCTTTTTTTCTTTTTTCCAAAAAAAAATAAATAAATAAATAAAAAAATGAGAATTTGGCTTGATTTTTATATTTTTATGTTCAGGGATAGAAAATGGAAAAAAAGGCTTGAATATTCGATTTTGCACATGTGGGCGCGCATGAAACGGCCCTTTCTGCTGATTGGTCAACCAAAGATCAATGCTTTCCGTTCTTCCACAGTCCTCCGCTGCTGGACGGATTCTTAAAGTGTTTTTTTTACAAATAAACTCTCTAATCCAACAACATTCGTGGAAATCGAATATTCAATCCATTTATCTATTTAAAAAAAAAAAAGTAAAATCAAGCCGAATTCTCATTTTTTTATTTTTTGGGAAAAAAAGAAAAAAGAATAAATAAGCCGTTTTCTCATTTTTCTACTTTCAATATCAAATCGAAAAACGACTGAACGCAACGTACACGGACCATTTTTCAGGAAGTGAATTAACATCTTGAATGTTTGATTTCTACACGTGTGCGGACAGTCTTAACGTGTTTATTGCAGCTACATTTCATCAGTGCAGCCGTGACTGATCGGCGATACAGCTCGAGCCTCGAGCGCCTTATTGGTTTTATTAGCACACAATACAAATATTAAAGCCAAAATGTGTGTCAAAGTAAAATCACTGGTTAGAAATTAATAGGCAAAATAACCTTCAAATTCCAGTTTGCCGTCTCCCTCAGAGGGATATGTGGTGTGTGTGTGAGGTTAGAGGTCTTCACGGGTCCACTTGGATCCGAAAACCCGAGGTTCGACCTGAGACCCGAGCGGGTTCGGGTCCAAAACTCTGACGAGTGTCTCGGACACGGGTCGGGTTCGGTATTAGTGGCCTCGGGTCTCAGGTAACTTAAAATAAATATGCCTTTTCCAAATGGACCCGAAAAGACCCGAATTATTTTAAACAATGTTGGGCATTTAACAAAATTGCAGTATTTAAAACAACTCTATGACCGTTCTCTGACTTTTTTTAAGTGAGAGAGCGAATCCGTGCTTTTACGTGCAATGGGCTATAAGCATAAGAACGGTTGCCCCCACATTTATTTACTCAGTTGCTCGCTCCACATAAACCAACCATAGTGCGCCATCATGTGGATGGATGTTTGACCACACGCAAGTATTTGAATTGTCGTTTAGCCAGGCCTGTCAATCAATTTTAAAAATACACAACACTGTCAGACAAGGGAGAATAAATTGTTATGCAAGTACTTTCACTTCTAATACTTAAAGTTAAACTTTTACTAAAGTAAATATTTATCTGGTTATTTGTACTTTTACTGAAGTACTGAGATTCAGTCCTTCCTTCACCACTGCATAGACTCAACTAGATAACAGTATTTAACAATGTGTACATACAGTATATTCTTCATTTGATTGGTTCATCCGCCCGAATTTAATTAAAATATTTTTTCCGTCACGTCATCCGCCCGATCTACGGTTTATCCACGCTGTAACCGCCAATCACGCATCTCTAGTGTGTGGTGTGTGTCTCTGGTGTTCAGAGGGGTATGTGTCTGTGTGTGTCTGTGTCGCCCTCTGGTGTTCAGACGGAGCATTTACTGCCGATCAGCCGCTGCACTGACAAACAATCTCATAATCTCTCAAATAATCTCAGCCTTCGTCAAATCTCTGCGATGAATCGAGCAGCGCGACTCGTCAGTGAATAACGCGATATGCATTTAGCCTCTTCCTCACCTCGTCATCCTCCTCGTCGTCGTCGTCCTCCATGAAGCGGATGGTGCTCATCCGGTTCAAGGCTTTGTCGTCCCAGGTGTCGTCCAGTATCCCACTCTCCACGAGACTCTCCAGCGCACCGCAGCGCGCCAGGTTATCCGAGCCTGCACACACACACACACACACACACCTTTAGGATCAAACACATCCTCTTCTCTAGTGGCTGTTCAGAAAAACACAACTTCTTGCATTTATTTCTTCAGAAAGACACATTGAGGAGTTTATACTGCAGTGAACGGCCTGCTGAGAAACAAACCCCCGTGACCTCACACACACACACACCCCAAACAATCAGCTCTTCACAGGAAGTGATGTCACATTTAATGGCCAAATAAAGACACACAAGTCCTTTTCCAAAGCTGACTGAGTAACGTCAAAACTCTTCATTTTAGTGCCCTTGTTAGTATAAATTATAAACTTACTATAAAGTATGAATTATTACATGATACTAATGCTAACCCAAACCAAGTACATGTAGTTATGTTATATAATTACACTGTAACAAAGATACCTTCAAAAAAAGTGTAACCAAAAAAAATATAATAATTTAATAAAACATCAAATGTATTCAAGCTTTTCTGATTAAAATAAATATATTTTATGATAATAATTAATTTTTACTTCCCCTTCAAGTTTGATTAAACCAAAATATGAGGAAAATATTAGCGATGTACGTTATCGGTCGATATTAGAGCCGGACCGATAAGGGATTTTGAAGGCCGATACCGATACAAATATTTTTGGGTTTTAAAATCCGATATTCCGATATATCGGCCGATATTTTTTTGTCTTTATTTTTTTCAGAAATGCACAACAAAACATTAACAGATTTCCCTAACATTAGTTATTTGTAGTTATTTATGAGTTTTAACTAAAATGTGATAATGCATTTTAAAAATAAACTTGTTTCTTTTATTGTCACAACAGAACAGACTGATGATAGTGGCTCTAGCTAGAGGGCACTCTACACAACAGGAATGGTGTATAATGCCCTCTAGTGGACAAACTCCAACAATCATGACATGGTTCAAGCGTGTTTCATCCGTTTTTATTTTATTTTTGAAATATTCATTTATCGGCCATTATAACTGCCGATACCGATAGTTTGGAAAATGCCTAATATCGGCCGATAACATCGGTCTGCCGATATATCGGTCTGGCTCTAGTCGATATATGTTCGTTTCTAATGTTATCGTTAGAAAACTCGACTGATATATTAAAGCTGATAAATAATGTATTTCCTTCAGATGCGCACTGTTCAAATGGCTTGAAATATGATTGACAGTCAAGTCAATCGTCAAATACATTGAAAGTCAAATACAGTATACAGTCAGAGCAACATGAAGTCCATCATACGGGCTAATAACATTATAATGAGAACGTTATAATTGTGTGCTTGGGACTTTTGTTTTTGTAATCAGGCTCTCAAATATTACAGAAAGATTCGGATTTAGATTTATCGGCCGATATATCGGTTATCGACTCTCAAATATAGAGAATTATCAGTCATTTGTATTGCTCACAATTTTCATATCCGTGCATCCCTAGAATTATATTTATTTATTTATTATTATTTTTATTTTTTTTGTGAAGAAAGAACAAAACTCTAAACTTGGTTATGGTGTTTATCTGATAAAATTATTTGCCAAAACACATCTATAAAATGTATAGAAAAACAATAACAATAATTCATATTTCATTGATTATCTCTTGCTTTTGCATGCGTTCAGTTTCTTTGTGTGACAACCTGGACAAAAATCATATCTGCATGTTATTGTCACACATAAAACAATCCACTCCAGAGTCCAGCATACCTGCGCAATACATGAATAAATCTTCAGCTGGAAACACTGTCAATGTCTTTACCGTCACTTTTGAGGATTTTAATGCTTCCTTTCTACATAAAAGTTGTTTTTTTTAATTACGTTAGTGTTTATTTTTAAATAAATACATTTGATATATATATATATATACACGAGTTTCGTTTCATGTGTACTATTAAGCTCCTATAATGTTTAAAAAATAATAATAATAAATATATATATATATTTTTTTATTATTATTATTTTTTAAACATTATAGGAGCTTAATAGTACACATGAAACGAAACTCGTCTGGCACGAACTGAAACCTCTGCTGAATTGTTGACATGAAGCCGTGTGTTCCTCATCGGGAGAGAGAGGTTAAAGACTTCAGGAAAGGCGAGCCTTTGAGATGAGATATGAGATGTACATTAAGATATGGCTGTGGGAGTGTCTGAGGTCGAGCTCACAGGAGATAAGCCTCTTTAATCGCCCAATCCGCTGCAGTGTGGAGAAGGCAAGGCAGAGATATCAAGACCTGCTCCCCAAACACACACACACACACACACACACACTCAAGCGGCTCGAGCTCCAGATAAACCCCACAGGACCGGCACAAGATGAAAGCAGAACATTACACCCAAAAAACATCAGATTATTCTTGCCGATCACGACCATCTATCCATGCCTGGAAAGTGTTGTTGTGCTGTAGTGTTGTGGCGTTGCTGTATTACGAAGCAAAACAACGAGCATGACGGCGTAACGTTACGATTATAGCGTAAGACTGTAGAAACAATGACAGACATCAGCCTCAGTAAAGTTAGCTTCATTCATTGAGAGAAAATGTGCACCTGTGGGGTTTGTAGTCTTTGTAATTACATATTTTCACAGTCTTATACCTCAACGGTTTTACATCAAACTGCGACTTTCTTTACTTTAAAATGTATTTTTTAAATTGACAAACATCATGTATGTAATTCAGGGCACAATTCAAACCAGATCAAAATATTTGTTGTCTCTCGCCATTGACTACCATTCAATATTTTTCCGAAATAAGGTCCCATGGTGGTCGACCGGAAGGGGAGGGACTCAGGCTCTCTATACCATCGCTGTCCAGGAGTAATCAGCTTTTGAAATGGATAAAGTTAAAGGAGTAGATCACTTTTGAAAAAACTTTTGCTGATAATTTACTCACCCCCATGTCATCCAAGATGTCCATGTCTTTCTTTCTTCAGTGGAAAAGAAATTAAGGTTTTTGATGAAAACATTCCTGGATTTTCTCCATATAATGGACTTCAATGGGAACCAAACGGTTCAAGGTCCAAAAGACAGTTAATAACAGTTTCAGATGCAGCTTCAAATGTCTTTAAACGACACCAGACGATGAATAAGGGTCTTATCAAGCGAAACGATCGGTTATTTCAAAACTTATTCCAAAAATGTAACTTTTCTAAGGACAATTGCTAGCCTTGCTCTATTCTGTGAGGTCACGGGCGACGTAGCCGGAAGTACAGAATCAAAATCGTCCGACATCGTTGTTTTACCTTTTAATTCCTTTTTTTGTAAACGGCGTTGAGTTAATTTGCACGCTCAACTTGTAAACACTGGCTCTGTATTTCTGGCTACATCGCCCGTGACCTTTTGAACGTAATTACGTATTACATGACGTTGCAAACGCGCCTCACAGAATAGAGCAAGGCTAGCATTTGTCCTTAGAAAAGTTACATTTTTGGAATAAGTTTTGAAATAACCGATCGTTTCGCATGATAAGACCCTTATTCATCGTCTGGCGTCGTTTAAAGCCCTTTGAACAGTTTGCACTGAAACTGTCTTTTGGACCTTGAACCGTTTGGTCCCCATTGAAGTCCATTATATGGAGAAAATCCTGGAATGTTTTCATCAAAAACCTTCATTTCTTTTCGACTGAAGAAAGAAAGACATGGACATCTTGGATGACATGGGGGTGAGTAAATTATCAGCAAAAGATTTTTTAAAAGTGAACTACTCCTTTAACAAAAGTTATCATGAGGATTGTAATGTTTAAAGCTGATGTCTTAACAAAATGTCAGTCGACCGGGAAGATTTTAAAACGAGCCGTTCATTCATAAATAGGATGAAAACGGAGACCCGGAAGACAAAAGACGACGAGCGCGGCGCTGGAAAGGGGCGGAGCTACAGAAGCTCTATAGGTGTGCGCATCTGAACTAGCGCTGTCACTTTACGAGCGAAAACCGATCGGACCAACACAAGAAGTTTCGAAAACGAAAATAGGGAATCGATTTTAACGGCCTTATTTTATTTATTTACCTTAAATGTGTGTTAGTCGGACAGATCAATACAGCACACAGAACATGTAGGATGCTGGGAAATAATGCGTTTTAATATTCGCCGTTACTTCAATGCAAGTGAACATCAAATCAAACAGGATTTTTTCACTAAAGTGACAGCTCTAGTTTGAGTATATATGTAAGCAGGCGTGTAGTCTTTCTTTACAAATTCATCTGAACAAATGACGCGTATCCATGTGACCTGGAACCATTTTGATAACACTGTATCTGTACAGCGCTTCACAGGGAGAGACTAGAGACACTTCAGGACTCAAAGTGAGCCTTTCTGCAGATTATTGCACATGTGGAGACACACGTCACGTCAGAGCTGTACCTGTGTGGTCCGGCTCGCACGGCTGCTGAGGCAAGAGGACGCAGGTCAGGACCTTCTCTCCGGACTCGGGGTCCACATCCGTCTGGAAGGTGAGCAGGGGCTTCGACTGGTTCTCCGACAGCCAGAGCGCTTTGAGCCGGAGAGTCGTGAGCGTCAAGGGCAGGTAGAGCAGCCTTCACACACACACACACACACACACACAGAATATCATTCACAAAACACACTTCTGCTTCTCTAATGCTGCAAACTCTCAGAACTCACACCGACACCAAGGTCATTCAATGATACAGTAACGGTCAGCATGCAATATTGACTGAAATCAAGTAAAAAAAAGTTTTTTTGTAAACGTTGGCCTAAACTGAGAAAAAAGGCACTCCATTCTTTATTACTGATATTGTGCACCAATTTACCAGCTGTGAAGATTTTTTATTCTTGAACACGTGGGATGCAAACACTGCTTTATTTGCAAATGTTTTATGCGACTAGTTACTAATTTAGATTCCTGAGACTGAATTTTATGAAGGACTAAAATGACAAAAGGAAAAATAAATAAATAAAAGTAGAAACAAATAAATAAATGCAATTAATATAGTGAAAATAAATACATTTTTGTAATATAAATGGCTATTTCTGTATTTTTACATGTATTTATTTATTTTTTTGCGCATTTATATAGGTATTTATACATTTATGTATTTATTTATTTATATAACTCACTCCCCACTTAATTATCATTATCAGGCGCAGGGAAAAATAAATGTGGAGATGTGGAAATACAGAAATAAATAAATGTGGAAATACAGAAATAAATAAATGTAGAAAAGTGGAAATACAAAAATAAATAAATGTAGAAATGTGGAAATACAGAAATAAATAAATGTGGAAATGTGGAAATACAGAAATAAATAAATGTAGAAATGTGGAAATACAGAAATAAATAAATGTAGAAATGTGGAAATACAGAAATAAATAAATTTTGAAATGTGGAAATACAGAAATAAATAAATGTAGAAATGTGGAAATACAGATATAAATAAATGTAGAAATGTGGAAATACAGAAATAAATAAATGTGGAAATGTGGAAATACAGAAATAAATAAATTTAGAAATGTGGAAATACAGAAATAAATAAATGTAGAAATGTGGAAATACAGAAATAAATAAATGTGGAAATGTGGAAATACAGAAATAAATAAATGTGGAAATACAGAAATAAATAAATGTGGAAATACAGAAATAAATAAATGTGGAAATACAGAAATAAATAAATGTGGAAATACAGAAATAAATAAATGTGGAAATGTGGAAATACAGAAATAAATAAATGTGGAAATACAGAAATAAATAAATGTTGAAATGTGTAAATACAGAAATAAATAAATGTAGAAATGTGGAAATAGAGAAATAAATAAATGTGGAAATGTGGAAATACAGAAAAAAATAAATGTGGAAATGTGGAAATACAGAAATAAATACATTTAGAAATGTGGAAATACAGAAATAAATAAATGTGGAAATGTGGAAATACAGAAATAAATAAATGTGGAAATGTGGAAATACAGAAATAAATAAATGTGGAAATACAGAAATAAATAAATGTAGAAATGTGGAAATACAGAAATAAATAAATGTGGAAATACAGAAATAAATAAATGTGTAAATACAGAAATAAATAAATGTTGAAATGTGTAAATACAGAAATAAATAAATGTAGAAATGTGGAAATAGAGAAATAAATAAATGTGGAAATGTGGAAATACAGAAAAAAATAAATGTGGAAATGTGGAAATACAGAAATAAATAAATGTGGAAATGTGGAAATACAGATATAAATAAATGTGGAAATACAGAAATAAATAAATGTGGAAATACAGAAATAAATAAATGTGGAAATACAGAAATAAATAAATGTGGAAATGTGGAAATACAGAAATAAATAAATGTGGAAATACAGAAATAAATATATGAAGAGTTCAGATGCAAAAGCCTCTAAATGCCATTTGGAATATTCTTCTTTAATGATGATTTTTATCAAACTTGTATATTTAAGTTCAGTAATTTCACTTAAATAACAATTAATAGGTAATTATCATTGCCATTTAAGTGAAATCACTGAACTTAAATATACAAGTTTGATAAAAATCATCATTAAAGAAGAATATTCCAAATGGCATTTAGAGGTTTTTGCATCTGAACTCTTCAAATGTAGAAATGTGGAAATACAGAAATAAATAAATGTAGAGATGTGGAAATACAGAAAAAAATAAATGTCAAAATAAATAAATATAGAAATAAATAAATATGTAAATGTATAAATACATAAATAAATACATATATAAATGCATAAATAAATACATGTAAAAATACAGAAATAGCTATTTATAATACCAAAATGTATTTATTTTCACTATATTTCCGCATTTATTTATTTATTTATTTCTACTTTTATTTATTTATTTTGTCATACACCACTGTGTCTTTATGTTTAGCATTTACCCCAGTCCAGCTGACGTCCATTGTGACTGCGTGACCATCCATTATATGACATTAAGTGGCTTTAAATACTACTTACATCAAAAAATAATTACGATGTACGTGTTGTGTTGCAAAACACGTTTGCTGCTTTTGAGGTGTGATGCGGGTAAGGTTAGGGACAGGTGTGTGTGATGGGTCGGTTTAAGGGTTGGTAAAGGTGTAAAGGAAGGGTCAACAGTGTAATGCATTAATTAACTGATCGACAGTCTTCATCAAGCCCCCGATGAGACGAGTGTGTTCTGACCAACCTGTTTCCCGAGACGTCGAGCACGTGCAGATCCGGGGCCTGCGAGAGCTCAGGAGGGATTCGTGTCAGCCGGTTCTCTCTCACACACAGGACGTTCAGACTGCAACAGCCACCGATCTGAGACACAGCAGAACACGACATGAGCAAAGGGCCTGATAAACCCCGTCACGAGACAACACAGCGTTACATCAAGAACAATCACAGCAGGAAAATGACCGACAGTAGAGACCCCAATACAATGAACAGACTGTACACACTCATATCTTTTTCCCTCCGCTTTAGCCTTCTGTCACACTGGGACGTTTTTATTCATGAAAAATGAATGAAAGCTTTTTGAGAACGCTTTCCAAAGTGGATAAATCTGAAAACAGCATTCTCGTGTTGTATATGGACTGTGAAAACAGAGGTACAGTGGTGTGAATAAATGTTGGCACCCATGCTAAAGTTGCCTAAAAAGAGGAATAAAAAATCATCTTTTGGATATTGATCTTAATGACTTAATTAGAAAAATGAGGAAAACTCCAACCTTTAAGGACACCAATTTTCTTTGTGAATGAATAATGCATCATAAATAAATAAATGTTTTTCCTTAAAATACAGGGTGCATAAGTCACGGCACCCCTATGATAAATTCCCATAGAGTCAGGCAGATTTTTATTTTTAAAAGCCAGTTATTTCATGGATTCAGGATAATATGCATCCTGATAAAGTTCCCTTGGCCTTTGGGATTAAAATATCCCCACATCATCACACACCATTCACCATGCCTAGGGTACTTTCCATAAGATCATCTTTCAATGCAAATCAAACCAGCTGTTAGGCTAACTGAAGTAAAACCATGCCAATCTCTAGGTGTGGTGGAAGGTGTGTGATGATGTGGGGATATTTTAAGGGAACTTTATCAGGATGCATATTCTCCTGGATCCATGAAGTAACTGGCTTTTAAAAATAAAAATCTGCCTGACTCTATGGGAATTTAACATAGGGGTGTCCTGACTTATGCACCCTGTATTTTAAGGATAAACATTTATTTATTTATGATACATTATTCATTCACAAAGAAAATTGGTGTCCTTAAAGGTTGGAGTTTTCCTCATTTTTCTAATTAAGGCATTAAGATCAACATCCAAAAGATGATTTTTTATTCCTCTTTTTAGGCAACTTTAGCATGGGTGCCAACATTTATTCACACCACTGTATTTAAAAACAATGATGTTAGTTTAGTCACGTGACGCGTATTAAACCCATAGATATTCATGTTTATATTGGTATTGTTCACTTCCACACTGAACAGCACATAACAGACAAACACTGAAATGGCACTGAAGATTAAGGCCCGTTCAAGAACGATAACTATATTAGCGTCCACACTAATGCACAACATCGTTCTGTTTATTACAAGCATGAACTGCAGTTTTGTTGTCCGCAGCTTTAAACGCTCGAGCTCTTTAAAGTACGATGGATTCTGATTGGCTGTCAATGTTTTATTGTTCATCAGCTGGAAAAAATCCTTGTGAAAGTGTCGTTATTGTTAAAGCTGTGGTGTGGAATTGCCTATTCTTTTAAATTCAGAACGATCTTTTTAAACGTTATCTTCATCATCCTTGGTGTGAACGGGCCTTTATGCTAATGAGCACAATGGTTAATAACACTCATTTATCATTAAAGTCTCCCAGTAGTCAATAATTTCATCCCTTTAATACTGATCTTTGATCACCAAAATTGCATATTTTTGGAGGAAAAAAAATGTATTCATGCCTTAAAAAAATCTTGAATGTAACTCGACACCCTTGCCTCATTTAGTTTATGCGGTTCTATGAATATGCAAATTAGCCCCGCCTCCACTCACTCACTCACTCAGAGATCCACTGGTTGACAATCACACGTTGATCTGATTGGTTACAAGGTGGTTTGTGACGTCAGAAACACCAGCGATTTCGAAGCGTGTTTTTGAGACTGTCTTTGGTTCACTGCAGTTTTAAGGAGGAAATGTACACATGGTGTGTCTTACAGCGTATTAAAAACACAATATAGACACAAAAACAACATTACAAGCTTGAGTTTCACCACAGGGGGATTTTAACAATAGCTGGAATTAACATTTTACTTTAAAGACATAACAACTAATGAAATGTTATTAAACTGATCCCAGATAACTAAATCACTTTATATTTTAATCACATTTTAATTCTGATCACATTCTCGATTAAGCACTCATTTGCAAAAATGTCCAGCTAGTTATGCTCAAATAAACCTTGTGTAATGAGTTGACCTTCTCTTGATTTGTGGAATAATTCTGAAGAAATGAAAAAAATAATTTCCAAATGAGAATCTGATTAATATGAGATGACGACATTTTGCTGGCTTTTGTGTCTGAACCGTTGTGTGAGGTCAGAGAGGTCACAGCTGAGCAAACGCTCTCACAGTACAAGCTGCCTCATTCATACAAAGCCATTGTTTAAACAAGACAATAACATTCCTCAAATCTCGTTCAGATCCATCATGAGAAACCCTTTCCGAATAAGAAACGAGGGCTGCTCAAGAACATGCGACACTCGAGGACCGCTGGAGAAGACGCAAGAGGCAGAACAGCAACACAAAGAGCCGTGTTTGTCCATCCCGAGACATGCCACAATAACACACAGTGCTACAGTTTGTACAAGCAGCCAAAGTCATGTGACTGGAGTCATGTGACACGTGATGGCATGTCGCCCTAGAACAGTATGCTAATAACACTGACTGACCTGAGGTGTGGTGTCAATGAACTGGATTAGGCCCTGAAACTAGATTTGCTGGTTAGGAGGTGTAAGGATTACCCGTCATTACACCAACGAAAGCAGCAGGGTCACGATCGGATGAGTAAACCGAAGCACTCGTGACACACACGCTCACACCCCAGAGGGAGATTTACTGGAGTCAACACACACACCAAGCAAGAGGCAAAACAAAGAGTTGAGAGAGTCTTAAAGCAATTTTAAATATTATGCAATTTTAAAGTCTCCTCCAATATTTTTACACATATATACATATTTACCTACATACACACACACACACAGCTATTCAAAAGTAAAGTTTTTAAAAGAAGTCTCACCAAGGCTGTATTTATTTGATTAATCAAATAATCCTGGAAAAACTGTACATAACTGTTATTAATAAGGATGCACCGATATGACAATTTTGGTCGATACCGATAACCGATAATTCTTTATGTTTGAAAGCCGATAACCGATATATTGGCCGATAAATCTAAATCCAAATTTTTAGACAATTTTTGAGAGCCTGATTATAAAAAAAGTCTCCTCATTAAAAGCCAAGATACAAACACAATTATGATGTTCTTATTTTAATGTTGTGTAGCCGATATGACAGACTTGCGCTGCATATTTTGCACTTTAACTGGATTTTCCTTTTTTAAAGTGATTTCAATCGTATTTCGAGCAATTTAAAAGCATCATGTTGAACGGTGCGGATCTAAAGTGCCTCAGCTGAAGGAAATAATACATCATTTATCGGCTTTTAGATATCGGCTAAATGTTCTTGTTGGGCCGATAACGATAACATTAAAAATTATCATATATCGGTCGATACCGATAACGTGGCCGATATATCGTGCATCCCTAGTTATTAATCAATATTGATAATAATCATAAATGTTTCTTAAATAAATGTTACATCAAATCATCATATTAGAGTGAATTCTGAAGGATCATGTGATTCTGAAGACTTTAGTATTTATGCTGAGAATTCAGCTTTGATCACATGAATAAATTACATTTGAAAGTACATTAAAAACAGAAAAATTTCAATTGTAATAATATTCAACTATACATCTGTTTTTTTTATTAAATAAATGCAGCCTTGGTGAACAGAAGATACTTGCTTTCATACCAATGATCATACCAAACCAAAACCTTTGAACGATAGTATGCATATATATATATATATATATACACACACTCCCTAAACTCAACTTAGAGGAAACACACCCGGTCACTAAACTAAACTTAGAGAACTCACTCCCTAAACTTAGAGGACTAACTCCCACTCCCTAAACTAAACTTAGAGGACTAAAGGCCCGTACACACGGGAGCATTCGTCAGCGTTTTTCAACCCGTTTTTTGTGTTCACACCCAAGCGTTGTTCGCTGACGATGAGCCGAGTGAACATGCAAATTCATTCCCTGACATTAGATGGCGCTTAATGTAAAACAGAAATAATAATAGAATACTATACTAGGGTGATCATATCCATGTCTCAATGTTTTATTATGAATTATGAAAAAGAATGAAATAATGATAGAAATAATGTCTTCTGTATTAGAAAAATAAATAATAAATAACTAAAAGAATGCCTCCAAATGTAACAAAAATAGCTCTCACAAACTTACAAAAACGAACTAACAAAATCTATTTATATCTTTAGTTTATCCTCTTTGTCTTGTTTTTCTTCCTCGTCCACCTTGTTTGCCCATCTCTATTTTGCTGAAGAACTGATCTTTCCCAGCAGTTTTTTTGAAAACCAGGACATTTTCATCACTTAAAAACAGTCAGGACAGGAAGTGGAAACAGGACATGTGTAACGCAAAGTTGAGATGTTGCCCAGAGATAAAAACATAGCAGTTGTCGGATGAACAGATGCACGAGAGACGAGAGTTGTCGGATTTCCCCGCGTTTAATAAAACCACTCAATTGCAGAAATACTAATATAAATATTATCTTATAGCTCTTTATGCTCCGAGACCAGCAGCTCAACATTCATCTTGCCCATGTATCTTATCTCTTCTTCGCCGTATGTGTGCTTGGCAAGACCGTTTTGTGTTTGAGCGCCCTCAAGTTGTGTTTTACTGTAACTTCAGAAGTACCAGACACGTGCAAACCCGCCAATCTCGTTGGTCGGATAGGTTTTGACGCGGCGCGTCAAACCAAAAAAACGTACCCGAGGCGTTTTTTTAAAAATGACGCTTTTTACGCGTGGCGTTTTCGCGTCGGTGTGAACACATACATTGGCGCCCATTGTTTAGTCACGAGGCGTTAAACGTCGACGAATATCGCGCACGAAATTCGTCCCGGTCTGAACAGGCCTTAACTCCCACTCCCTAACTCACTCCCTAATCTTAGGACAAACTCCCACTCCCTAAACTCGTTCTTCACCGAGCGCTTTATACAGAAACATCCGGGAGTGTGATAGACATCCGCTGATAGACGCCTGCTTGTGGTTTCAAACACTCACGGTTTAAAAATACACTCAAACACTTCTGTGTGGGCTCACTGACCAATCACAACACACTGCTCCAGCCGACCAATCAGAGCACAGTGTGCTTTTCAAAAGGAGGGGCTTCAAAGAGACAGGAGCTAAACAGAGCGTTACTGACAGACTGGGAAGAGAGGAGCCGCAACAATGGAGAATATGAGGGAAATAGCTAATCAACCTGTTCTAGCAAAGCCCAAAAACAATATCAAGACTTTAAAAAAGGGGCAGATTATGCCATCTAATAATAAACCACCACAAACCTATTAAAAAATAAAATATTACAGCACTGTGACATCACAGACAATAAAAAATAAATTTCAAACAGGAGATGAATAGTATTTTCTAAATGTAAAAAAGCATGTGATACTAGATATTGTATCTGAATTATAACACCATAACCTTAAAGGTTTCTGGTCATTCATGTATAACTGACAAAAAAAAGAGCCTTGTTCAAGTCACACACACACAAAAAAAGAAAAACTGGGACAAAACATCAAGGCCTTGTTCTAGTCACAAACAACAAAGTCCTTCAGTGAAGGTAGCCATTAAATAGAAGCACATTTTAACCCAACGTAGGAGTACTTCAGCATTTCAGCTCAGAAATACCTGCAGGACGACCTTGAGCCGACACAAAAGACAAACTCTTATTCCACTCACTTAAAAAGTCTTGTTATAAACGTTACAAACAGTTTACAATACAAAACTTCCATTCTTGATACTGTTAAACATTTGGTGAACATTGTGAACCTGCTTGCAAAGTAAAGTCTAAATATACAGTGTATGAGTGAACAAGCAACAGCAAGAGAAACTCGTTCCAAGGATATCAGAGCAGAATTTGCTGTAGGCAAACTGAGAAGTGTGAGCGTTTTACATGATAGTTTGCTGCCATCAAGCCTCTGTTTCCCTCTTTCATACCTCTTTCGGTAAAGACGTTAGTCGATTCCTATCACAGTTGAAGTTGGACAGTTTCTTCAGTTTTCCAATACTTCTTGGCAAATTCTGAGAGACAAAAACACAGACGTTCAGAAATGACTTCACATCTACTGTCAGGGAGAAAGTACTGTCAGTTTCTTAGTATTTTTGTCTTGTTACCAGTCCAAATATATAAAAATTCTTAAATCAAGATGCATTTACTAGATTAGTGAAATATCATAAGATATTATGTCTTGTTTTCTGGGTAAATAAATCAAAATTAAGCGAGTTGTTGCTTAAAAAAGCAAACTTATCTATCAATGACGTAAGAAAAATCTTAATTCAAACAAAAAATGATTATATTTCTTACCACATTGGCAGATAATTGTGCTTGTCTTAATGTAATGTTAAGTAATTAAGTACTGTAATTGAATTAAACCTTTCCCTTAAAGTAAATTAAGGGATTACTCTTAATTTTCTGTCATTTAATTACAGTTACTTCTCATGTAACAAACTGTATAGACTACCGTGTTGAATAATTCTCTATAAAACAATAATGGATTTAAATTCAAACTTTAACATCTAATAATAAAAAAAATCTCCCTTTTAAAAAAATTATTTATTTGAAATAATTAAAACAGCAGTTTCATGTCTATCCTTGTATTGTTCAACTGGTCGAGGTTGATGATATGAGATTTAGAAAGTACTTAGTAATAAGTAATGCAATACTTTTTAAATCTAATTATCCTGTTGAAGATGTAATTACAAGCTAGTAATAATTACTTAACACAGAAAATATTAAAGCTTTAACTCATTTTTACCCGTTAACATTTTCCTCACAAAAACGTTTCTCGTTTCTATTTACTTCCTTTTCAGTAGAAAACCAAGTGACCAAAAGGTGGACGCTTGTTTCCACCACTGAATAAAACATTTGAAATGATAATTGCGACTTTTTTTCTCACAATTGCGAGTTATAAGGCCCAATGCTAAGGAAAAAAGACTTTATAACATGCATTTTATATCACTCAGCTCTGAGATAAAAATTCCCGATTCTATTTTTTGTTCTGTGGTGGAAACAAGCTTTCAGACCATAGATATAAAGAAAATGTGTAAAAAAAATAAAAATAAAATAAATTTAAAATATTAGAGGAGTAATACTCAACACATTAATCTGACTGACTTTTTTATTACTTCCCTCGTAAACTGCTCAGATTGCAGAAGACGACTTTTTTCCTCAGAATTGCGACTTTATTTCTGACAATTCTGACTTTATATCATGCAATTCTGACTTTAAAACTCACAATTCTGACTTTAAAACTCAAGATAGCGACTTTATATCTCCCAATTCTGACTTTATATCTCGCAATTCTGACTTTATATCTCCAATTCTGACTTTATATCTCGCAATTCTGACTTTATATCTCACAATTCTGACTTTAAAACTCAAGATAGCGACTTTATATCTCCCAATTCTGACTTTATATCTCGAATTCTGACTTTATATCTCACAATTCTGACTTTATATCTCGCAATTCTGACTTTATATCTCACAATTCTGACTTTATATCTCGCAATTCTGACTTTATATCTCGCAATTCTGACTTTATATCTCGCAATTCTGACTTTAAAACTCAAGATAGCGACTTTATATCTGCCAATTCTGACTTTATATCTCGCAATTCTGACTTTATATCTCGCAATTCTGACTTCATATCTCACAATTCTGACTTTATATCTCACAATTCTGACTATATCCAGCAATTCTGACTTTATAACTTGCAATTCTGACTTTAAAACTCAAGATAGCGACTTTATATCTCCCAATTCTGACTTTATATCTCACAATTCTGACTTTATATCTCACAATTCTGACTTTATCTCACAATTCTGACTTTATAACTTGCAATTTTGACTTTAAAACTCAAGATAGCGACTTTATATCTCCCAATTCTGACTTTGTATCTCACAATTCTGACTTTATATCTCGCAATTCTGACTTTATATCTCACAATTCTGACTTTATATCTCGCAATTCTGACTTTATCTCACAATTCTGACTTTATAACTTGCAATTTTGACTTTAAAACTCAAGATAGCGACTTTATATCTCCCAATTCTGACTTTGTATCTCACAATTCTGACTTTATATCTGGCAATTCTGACTTTATATCTCACAATTCTGACTTTATATCTCGCAATTCTGACTTTATCTCACAATTCTGACTTTATAACTTGCAATTTTGACTTTAAAACTCAAGATAGCGACTTTATATCTCCCAATTCTGACTTTGTATCTCACAATTCTGACTTTATATCTCGCAATTCTGACTTTGTATCTCACAATTCTGACTTCACACACAATTCTGACTTTATATCTCGCAATTCTGACTTAATATCTCACAATTCTGACTTTATATCTCGCAATTCTGACTTCACTCACAATTCTGACTTTATAACTTGCAATTTTGACTTTAAAACTCAAGATAGCGACTTTATATCTCCCAATTCTGACTTTGTATCTCACAATTCTGACTTTATATCTCGCAATTCTGACTTTGTATCTCACAATTCTGACTTTGTATCTCACAATTCTGACTTTATATCTCGCAATTCTGACTTTATCTCACAATTCTGACTTTATAACTTGCAATTTTGACTTTAAAACTCAAGATAGCGACTTTATATCTCCCAATTTTGACTTTATATCTCACAATTCTGACTTTATATCTCGCAATTCTGACTTTATATCTCGCAACTCTGACTTTATGTCTCGCAATTCTGACTTTATATCTCGCAATTCTGACTTTATAACTCCCAATTCTGACTTTATATCTCACAATTCTGACTTTATATCTCACAATTCTGACTTTATATCTCACAATTCTGACTTTATATCTCAATTAAATTAAATTCAATGAAAGTATTCGAGGAGTATAGGAGATACGGTCGGGAGCGTAACTCACCACCAGCTGGTTGTCCGTCAGCACCAGTTCGGTCAGGCTTTCACAGTTCCCGATGCTCTCCGGCAGCTGAAGCAAACGGTTCTGATCCGCTTTCAAAATCGAGAGCCGTCTTAATTTTCCTAAGGGAAAACATTACAATACTGCTTAAAAAAATCAATCATCACACATGTATGGAATCTGGAGTGACTGCAGATGTGTGTATGAACTGGAGCAAGCGTAGATGAGTGTGGAAGCTGAGGTGTGTGTGTGAGCTGAGCTGAGCTGAGATGTGTGTGTGAGCTGAAGTGTGTGTGTGTGTGTGAGCTAACCGATGCCCTCCGGCAGCAGGTCGATGAGGTTCTGGGACACCAGCAGATCCGTGAGGCAGAGCAGGTTCCCCATCTCATCCGGGAGATGCTCCAACTTATTCTCAGATACATCCAGACACGTAAGGCTTCTCAAACTACCCAGCTCCTGAGGCAGAGAACACACACACGTAAACACACATGCAAACCCAAAGCACACAAAAAAGCATCTAGGATCCCGAGGAAGTCGAGTATCTTGTTCTTGATGAATCGAGAAGAACTCAAGTCAAGTGTGTATGAAGGAGCAGAGCACATATCTCTTCATCAGACATACGTTCAGAAAATTAATGCAAACAAACTTTGGAAACACTTTCTAGTGGGTTATGAGCATGCATATTGAAAAAACAAAAGCATGATCAATAATTATGAAAAATAATATAAATGTAACTAAATGTCTTAATGAGACTTTATAAATAGATTTAGGGAACAGTAATACTTATAAATAAGTGTAAATGGGGCTATAATTCATTATAAGCATGCAGTTCACAGAACTCGTTTTTGAAGATGACGAAGGTTTGAGGAAGACTGTACCGCTGGTATTTCAGACAGCTGGTTCCCGTCCAGCCACAGGTCCTTCAGACTGACCAGACAGCCTATCGTCTCCGGCTGCAAGACAACACGTTTGAGTTCAGATGAGCATCACCAGCACACACACACACACACCAGAATGCAGATCAGCGCCAAACATTCGGGAAATGCATTCCAGTGCAGGAGCCTGAGAACACATTCATGCTACTGAAACCAAATCATTACAGTAATGTGTGAATCTCAAGAGACCTGCCAAAACATCTTTCACATCGCTTAAATATAGCATGAAGAAAAATATTTTTTTAGCATTTTTATAGGTCACCATGAAATCAAAATAGTGCAATATTTCAGTGTTTATTACAAATGCATTTGTCTACGCGCATCATCGTTTTAGCACATTTTCTCCAAATTCATGTTCTTTTAATGCAAAAAAACCCCCCCAAAAAACCTGAATAAAATCAATATATATATATATATATATATATATATATATATATATATAAAAATTAGTAAATAAAAAGTAAATAAAATATAATTCACATAATTCCTTTATTCCAAATAAGAAAATATTATAAATATATACATATATAAGCTATAAAATAAAATATAATAAAGTATATTATAAAATATAATAATAAATTAATTAAAATAATATATATATATATATATATATATTATTTTAATTTATATATATAATAATATATAATATAATATAAATTAATATATACTAATATATATATAATGCATGTATGTCTAATAAATAATATAATATAAACATACAATTTTATATAAACATAAATGACATTTTTTATAATAAATTAATATTTAATTAATGAATACATAAAATGTAAAATACTTGTTCATCATTGGTAGTATTTCACATCATTCCTTAATTACATTGTTTTATTTTTCGTGTCATGAAATTAAAAAGGCCTTATTCATGAAACACGAGCAGAATAAATTATTAAGCTGTTCGTAAGTCCTTTTGACATAAATTTTCATGAATGCGTTTATATTTTCACAATGTCGGTGACCGCATTACGAGCAGATTAAAATGTACTTCTCCCAAGTAATTTATGAAGTGTAACATGACTTTGAATGACTGTAGACTCCGGCTCGGATAAACTGCTCAATGTGAACTTTGTTTCCTAGTTCACTTCAATTAAATGTCGTTATATTTTTTAAAGCCTAATAAATCTTCACATTGATAGCTTTCAATTATACTGTATGAATGGCTATAATTAATGGCTAAAAATCTATTACATAGAGACTTCATTAGCTGTAATAAGACCAGTGATATGGGCCTTCTTTCATAATAAAGATGCCATTAAACAAATATTTAAAATATAGGCTATTGTCTTTATGTGGTTTCTACATTAAGTTTGGGATTAAATGTGAAATTATTACAATATAAAAATGTATTAAAAACTTGAATGTTAGGAGTGATTAATCCTAATTAAAATCCTCACAAATTCTTTGGTTTAACAGCATCTTTTGCATATTTGTATAATTTTTGATTTTATTTTGTCTTTTGAACTATGCATGTATATTTTATGTAAAATATCTTAGTGGGGACAGTAATAAACAAAACAAAAATACATGCATTTTTATCCAATCCCTTGTATTTTGTTAGAATATTTAAAATTTCATAGATTCAGGAAAGGTGTATGCAAACTTTTGTACACGACTGTGTGTGTGTAAGTTTCATATACGTCTTCATGCAAAATAAACTTTATTTTTTCTTTTGACTGTAGGATTAAATGGGACCATCATATTCAACCCAATAATCCAGAGATGGCGTGACAGCTGACATAATCTAAACCATGTGTAGCCAAATACATTATTATTATTATTATTATTATTATTATTATCTATTCTATAGTCATTTTAAAGCATGTTGTAAATATCTCAACACTTACCAAATTATATAGTTCATTGCTTCCTACATCCAGTTCTTCAAGTTTCTGAAGTTGAGACAGAGACCTGGTTGAAACAAAATGGAGAAAACATTCATTTGTTTTGCAAATGCACACACACTAAAACACACTAAAACACACACTTAGCATTATGATGTGCACTTACTCTGGTAAATATGTCAGCAAGTTCTCTCTGAGTTCCAGTGATACCAAGTTACAGAGGCTAGATGGAAACAAACAAACATTGCATAATTATTAAGTGTATGTATAAATTTTAACTTTAAATTTATAGCCAAAAATTGGACGAATGACGCTTTTCACATGTTCATCTGTGTGTGATGTTGCTGTTTGAGCATGAGAAGCTCCAGTTCTTCTCTATATCAGAGTCAGTGTTTCTGAACTCCTGAAAAACCTCCATTGTAGTCTTGAGTTTCTTCTGGGAACAAACATCACAATATTCCTCATTATAATAATTAATGCGCATAAAGGGGCGGGGCCTGGTTGAGTTAGTCAGTAGTGTGTTAAACTGGCTTTAGGGGATTTTATGGTACTAAAATATATTTAAGCTGTATTAATAATCCATTTATTCACTTTCTGAGCACAGAATTAAATTTCCAAATGAAACTGTAGAAAATCTTGAATGCTTTAGAGCAACAGACTGAAGTTACATCTCTTTTCAAAGAAGACACTTGACACATTATTGCTGAAGGGAAAAAAGTTTTTCAAAAAGTCAAGTTACAGAATTTTATATTTGTTATCAATCACAATTTTATTTGAAATTTTCTATGACCGCAGAGGTGTAAAGTCCAGGTTTAGAAAGTAAAAGTCCTGCTCAGTATTTTGTTTCCTAAAATAGTGTGTGTTATGAGTGTAAAGTAGTGCGTGTTACAAGTGTGTAAAAGGAGTGTGTGTTAGGAGTGTAGTAGGAGTAGGGGTCTACCGATATGTGATTTTCAGGGCCAATGCGATACCGATTACTACAAATCAAATAGACCGATAACCGATATTTTGAACCGATATATATATATATATATATATATATATATATATATGTATATATATATGTATATATATGAAGAGTTCAGATGCAAAAGCCTCTAAGTGCCATTTGAAATTTTCTTCTAAAATGATCGTTTTTATCAAGCTCGTATATTTAAGTTCAGTAATTTCACTTAAATGGCAAAGAAGATTACCTATTAATTGTCATTTAAGTGAAATTACTGAACTTAAATATACAAGTTTGATAAAAATCATCATTAAAGAAGAAAATTTCAAATGGCATTTAGAGGCTTTTGCATCTGAACTCTTCATATATATATATATATATATATTATAGCCTATGTCTGGTGTAAAACTGTAAATTAATGTCAAAATTAAGAAACAAATACATTATTTTAATGATTTTAAACATATTTTTGAATCTGAGAACTGTTATTATTATTAATAATAATAATAATAATAATAATAACAACTTGTAAAAAAAGTGCAGGGAACACCCAGCATCATTCTGTAAACATTTTGTAAAACTTAAATACTCTATTTTAATGTTTAAACAAAATTTTTGTAATCAAAAAGCATTTCTAAATAATTAAAATCATCAAACTTTTTCAATTTATTTACAGTTTAACAAAAGTTACATTTTTAGGGCTTTGTGAAAAACCAAAATTTTATTTTGGCGGGTTACCATGGAAATCTTGAGTTTCTCAGTTGCTTTCTCAGTTGAAGCATTAAAAATCTCATTAAGTGACTAAGCGACTCTGGAGATGATGTTTATGCAATCATAATAAATAAATCAATAAAAAATATATCAAATAAAAAATAAATAAAAAATCATGGGTGGAATAATGGCAGGACTTGTACTCTCTACACCTCTGATGAGCGCCCACCTGGGCATACACACTTTAGTCTTCAAATCACTTGTTGTGCTTTTCTTTGTATATTAGATTAAAGCATCACCAACACAGGCCTACTTATTCATAATCTTCTGTTCAAAAATAAGATCCACTGGGATACGGAGCATCTATCAGGGGCGGGGCGTTGAGACAAGTATATGGCAATCTGCTAGTGTGTCTCGTCAGCGTGCGACACACACAGTCCAGTTGGTTTATTCCAACGTGTCCAGGGCGACTTAAAAGCAATTTAAAGCAATACCTACACCAAATAAAGCACCAGAATACAGGAGGGCGAGCGGACTTCCCCGTTCAGCACAAACACATTTCTTTCAGGGTTAAAGGTTTTAATTTTCCAGTGGACTGATCCAAAAACAAATGAAAAGAGTAAGAGGGAAGTGTGTCGCTGACCTCTTCGGTCGGTCGGCTTGATTTAGAGGACGGGAAACGCTGTGATTTCTCACTGTAACTATACGGGAATTTAATCAACCGGCAGAAGGGACTAGGGTTCAGCAAGCTTTCAGACGTCTGCAGCTCAAGGCTACACACACACACACACACACACTAATCAGGTTTGTCTCCTGAAATGAAAACGGAGAGAATGAAAGAGGATTATTGGTCGAGGCTGTGGCGAATGGGATATTTCAATTCCACAAAACAAAGCAGTCATAATAACTTTCTGCCATCATTGAGATGTCGCATTGATGCACATTAGCGTTTCTGTCGACTCTTCGGAGGACGATCGGTCGATACGGTTGTGTGATGCGTGTGTTCACTGAGAGATTAAAGATCATAAGGCAGTATTAAGCACTCTGGGATTGATATCTATACAAATCTGGAGTCGCTCTGCCTCTTCTCTCTTCATAAAGCCAGATTAAACCATCGACAAGGAAAGGAAACTGCTTTTATTTTATTTAGTTTTAGCCATTGTGATTGTGTTTAAGCTTATGCTTTGACTAAAACTGCCATTTTTGTGTTTGTATACATAGAAATAAAAAAGAAAATTGCTCAAAATTTGCATAAGCCCATTCATAGGGGGGTGCCTTCAGATCAGTTGGACGTGGCTGTGGTTACAAGAGGTAAAAACGATATAAATACTGTTCGTTTTCTCACACAAACCGCTCGTTTCGTGTCTTAGGCCATTTACGAGTCATTAAATCATGTTTAATCTGGACTTCTCTGTGCACGCTCTTTGAGGTGGTGACCATAGACCTCCATTATATGACTGACAGACAAGAACGGTTTGACCTAAAAATATCAAAATTGAAACGACTGCGGAAACAAAGACACCTACATCTTGGATGCCCTTGAGGCAAGATAAAACATACCAAAAATTAATTTCAAAGTGAACTATCCCTTTAAGAGAGACTTTTTTATGTGATGAAATTGTCCCAGTCGGCCCTGAACAACAGACAAAATCGTGTGCTGTGGTTACAAGAGGTAAAAACGATATAAATACTATTCGTTTTCTCGTTTCGTGTCTTAGGCCACCATCTTACATTTACGAGTCATTAAATCATGTTTAATCTGGACTTCTCTGTGCATGCTCTTTGAGGTGGTGACCATAGACCTCCATTATATGACTGACGGACAACAACGGTTTGACCTAAAAATCTCAAAAATGAAACTACTGCGGAAACAAAGACACCTACATCTTAGATAAAAACATATCAAAAATTAATTTCAAAGTGAACTATCCCTTTAAGAGAGACTTTTTTACGTGATGAAATTGTCCCAGTCGGCCCTGAACAACACACAACATCGTTGTGTTTATTATAAGGGCGCTGTGGTTACAAGAGGTAAAAACGATATAAATACTATTCGTTTTCTCACACAAACTGCTCGTTTCGTGTCTTAGGCCACCATCTTACATTTACGAGTCATTATATCATGTTTAATCTGGACTTCTCGGTGCATGCTCTTTGAGGTGGTGACCATAGACCTCCATTATATGACTGACAGACAACGGTTTGACCTAAAAATATCAAAACTGAAAATACTGCGGAAACAAAGACACCTACATCTTAGATAAAAACATATCAAAAATTAATTTCAAAGTGAACTATCCCTTTAAGAGAGACTTTTTTATGTGATGAAATTGTCCCAGTCGGCCCTGAACAACAGACAAAATCGTGTGCTGTGGTTACAAGAGGTAAAAACGATATAAATACTATTCGTTTTCTCACACAAACTGCTCGTTTCGTGTCTTAGGCCACCATCTTACATTTACGAGTCATTAAATCATGTTTAATCTGGACTTCTCTGTGCACGCTCTTTGAGGTGGTGACCATAGACCTCCATTATATGACTGACAGACAACAACGGTTTGACCTAAAAATCTCAAAAATGAAACTACTGCGGAAACAAAGACACCTACATCTTAGATAAAAACATATCAAAAATTAATTTCAAAGTGAACTATCCCTTTAAGAGAGACTTTTTTACGTGATGAAATTGTCCCAGTCGGCCCTGAACAACACACAACATCGTTGTGTTTATTATAAGGGCGCTGTGGTTACAAGAGGTAAAAACGATATAAATACTATTCGTTTTCTCACACAAACTGCTCGTTTCGTGTCTTAGGCCACCATCTTACATTTACGAGTCATTATATCATGTTTAATCTGGACTTCTCTGTGCATGCTCTTTGAGGTGGTGACCATAGACCTCCATTATATGACTGACAGACAACGGTTTGACCTAAAAATATCAAAACTGAAAATACTGCGGAAACAAAGACACCTACATCTTAGATAAAAACATATCAAAAATTAATTTCAAAGTGAACTATCCCTTTAAGAGAGACTTTTTTATGTGATGAAATTGTCCCAGTCGGCCCTGAACAACAGACAAAATCGTGTGCTGTGGTTACAAGAGGTAAAAACGATATAAATACTATTCGTTTTCTCACACAAACTGCTCGTTTCGTGTCTTAGGCCACCATCTTACATTTACGAGTCATTAAATCATGTTTAATCTGGACTTCTCTGTGCACGCTCTTTGAGGTGGTGACCATAGACCTCCATTATATGACTGACAGACAACAACAGTTTGACCTAAAAATCTCAAAAATGAAACTACTGCGGAAACAAAGACACCTACATCTTAGATAAAAACATATCAAAAATTAATTTCAAAGTGAACTATCCCTTTAAGAGAGACTTTTTTACGTGATGAAATTGTCCCAGTCGGCCGTGAACAACAGACAACATCGTTGTGTTTATTATAAGTGCGCTGTGGTTTATCAGCCGGGAAAAGAATCACTGTGAAATAGATTGTAACGATATCTCTCCTCTGTGCCGCTATCATTACAGTTATGGTGTGTAATCTGCTATTCGTCCTTCGTTTGGCCAGGCGTTTACTTGGAAAATGATCTCACTGTTCATAAAATGAAACACTTTCTGCAGGGTCAGACAGAGACAGACAGACGACAGGCACGGAAGAGGAAATTACACCGGAAATGAAGAGAGCCATCGAATCACACAAGGGAGAGAAAACAAAAGTTACCCAGACGCTTCCCAGATTTCAATCTGAATGAAGGAGTGAATGCTGAGGTGATATTACCATACCGAGAAACACACATGCTTGCGGACTGTTTTCAGGAAGCAATATGTCGTCCTGGAGATAAACTGTGTCATGGAGCAGATAAAGAAATACAGACAAACGTCGACTAAACTAAAAAAACCACTGAGTGAACATATTAGAAATGTCCCTGAGGACGATTTGTTTTGAAAGTACTCCTATTAGGTTGCTAATGCTGTTCTGAGTCTCCTATAACAGGTTTACATGCATCCTAGTTAAACAAACAAACCAAAAACACTTTAATTTTCTCATAATCTCCACTGCAGAATCAGCTCTTTTCTAGGGCTGGGTATTGACACAAATTTCACAATTCGATTCGATTTTGATTCACAAGCTTGCAATTCAATATTGATTATTTTGGATATCAGTTACAATAAATGGCAAATTTTCTCAAGGAAATCAAATCTCTTAATTAAAGCTGTAAACTATGGAAGTCTAGTTGTAGCCTATAGGCTTCATTAGCCTAATATGAAGGTAATATATATGAAGAGTTCAGATGCAAAAGCCTCTAAATGCCATTTGAAATTTTCCTCTAGAATGATCATTTTATCAAGCTTGTATATTTAAGTTCAGTGATTTCACTTAAATGGCAATGAAGATTACCTATTAATTGTTATTTAAGTGAAATTACTGAACTTAAATGTACAAGTTTGATAAAAATCATCATTAAAGAAGAAAATTTCAAATGGCATTTAGAGGCTTTTGCATCTGAACTCTTCATATATACTAGGGCTGTGAAACGATTAATCACGATTAATCGCATCCAAAATAAAAGTTTGTGTTTACATAATATATGTGTGTGTGGTGCGTATAATTGCATGAGTGTGTATTTTTTTATATACAAAATAATTATATACACTACTCACACATATATTATGTAAACACAAACTTTTATTTCGGATGCGATTAATCACGATTAATCGTTGCCCAGCCCTAATTTATACATAATATTAATTAATAGAGTATATACATGCAAATATTTCTAAAATATATAAATACATGAGTGTGTATTTTTTTATGTACAAAATAATTATACGTACACACTACTCACACATGTATTATGTAAACACAAACTTTTATTTTGGATGCGATTAATCGTTGCTCAGCCCCATCCCCTAAATGCGAATTTTGTCATTGTTTTGGAACACATCCGCTTATTCATAACCTTAAGCCTTTAACGAAACTGATCTGAAAATGTGGATCAACTGTCCGAGATCAGAGTCCTCGTTTTAGATCATCTCATGATGATTATTAATGTAGCTATTCAGAGCTTTTCAGATACTCATACAGTAAGTGGAAGAAAGATGTCACGCCTAGCGTGGATAACAGCAAATGAAGTGAGGCCATAATATAAATAAAACCCTGCTGATATATCATAAGAGAAAATATCCCTAAGAAATGAAATAAGGAGAAAAAACACTTACTTTCCAATGTTGTCTGGAAGTGCTTGTAAAGAAATGTCATTGATGGAAAGGCATGTTAAATTCTGTAAGTCCGAAAAACTTTCTGGCAACCTGAAACAAAAAACAAACAAACATAAAACTCACAGTTCACACCGGGAATGACGGATAGATAAATAACTGATCAAGTGAATCCGCTCCGGTGGACAGACAGGATCACTCAACTACTCTAAATCAATAATAACATTAATCAAATATACGGCCCACAGCTCTAGGGGGCGCTAGTCGCGAAAACATGTGACGACAAAAGGAAAAATCAGCGAAGAAATGGCTAGAGTTGCCAAGTTCCCCTTTAAGACTCGTTTAAAGAAGCGCCCAGGCCCAAAGCAGTAATAATATATTTTACAATATTTTCTGCAATAAAACACCATATATTAGGCATTTTAAAATGATATGTCCATAGTTATGCAGAATCAGAATATGAAATGCACATCAATTACCTTGTCAAAGGATTTCCACTAAAATCTGCTACTTGGAGGGTTTTACAATATGAAATGCTTTCAGGGAGTTCCATAATGTCTGTGAGGAAAAAGAGGGAACACATTTAATCCACTTACAACAATAAAAACCATGCAATATTTAAAGCGATAGCTTTGTACTGAGACCTCGAGAGCTGCCCATGTAGGCGTACAACATTTCCCCATCTAGCTCAACATTTTACATTTTTGTAGTTTGTAGAGCACTGTTGGCGATCTGTCACTGCATGACTTCAACAATCTTTGTGGATTTTTTTTAACTATCTCAATTTAATCAACAAAGCCACATCTTGTAGAGTAACGCCATTAAAATGACATATTTAAACCTTTTTTCCTTTGAAAAAATTCTTCATGCCTCAAAAGATTGTGTATGTAACTCGACACCCTTTCCTCATTTAGTATGCGCGGTTCTATGAATATGTAAATGAGCCCCGCCTCCACTCACTCGCTCAGAGATCCTCTGGTTGACGATCACACACGTTGATCTGATTGGTTACAAGGTGGTTTGTGACGTCAGAAACACCAGCGATTTCACAGTGTGTTTTTGAGACTGTCTTTGGTTCACCGCAGTTTTAAGGAGGAAATAATCAGCAATGCTGTCGACTTGATGTGAACTTTTACACATGGTGTGTGTTAAAGCATTTTAAAAACACCACATAGACACATAAACAACATTAAAAGCTGGATTTTCACCACGGGAGACTTTAAGGAGTTTGAGAGCATTGGGAAACTGACTATCATCCACAGTGCTAAAATACCAGCAGCATTTCACGCTTTACCCAGCCGTCCAATCACAGTGGAGGAGGGGCGGGACCAAAACCAAACCGGCCAACCGTCCCATCCTGATAGAACAATGACAACAACGGAAAAAAAAAAAATTAAATTTAAAACAAAGGCCGGAGCAAGTACGTTACATTGTGTATTGTGTATTTTTCAGCATAACTTCTGTCATTCTGTAGCTTTAATTAAGTCAGTGGGTTTAATATAGAGAGCTATACGAATATAGATCACCCTTTCTCTTTTTTCAAACACCAAACTTTAAAACTCATTGACTTTTTTTGTTCATTATTGAATTGAACTTTTGCCTGTTTGGTGATTCCATTAATTATGTTAAAAGAAAGAGAAACGAGTAGCGCTACAGATATTTTCTTGTAAAATGTTGTAATCGGAGTTTATCAGGAATTACTCTAGTGAACATGAATAAAGGAGTAGTTCACTTTTAAAAAAAACTTTTGCTGATAATTTACTCACCCCCGTGTCATCCAAGATGTCCATGTGTTTTTTTTCCTCAGTTGAAAAGAAAGAAAACATTCCAGGATTTTCTCCATATAATGGACTTCAATGGGAACCAAACGGTTCAAGGTCCAAAAGACAGTTTCAGTGCAAACTGTTCAAAGGGCTTTAAACGACTCGAGACGATGAGTCTTATCAAGCGAAACGATCGCTCATTTAATAAATAAATAACAAAGTTTAAGTTTTATAAGCTCAAATGCTCGCCTTGCTCTGTTCTGTGACGCGCGTTCGTGACTCTCCTGTTCGAACTCGTTCATCAAAATGAACGAATCTTTTTTCGAGTCATGACTCGAAGGGTCCTTGATAAGACCCTTATTCATCATCTGGAATCATTTAAAGCCCTTTCAACAGTTTGCACTGAAACTGTCTTTTGGACCTTGAACCGTTTGGTTCCCATTGAAGTCCATTATATGGAGAAAATCCTGGAATGTTTTCATCAATAACCTTAACTTCTTTTCGACTGAAGAAAGAAAGACATGGACATCTTGGATGACATGGAGGTGAGTAAATTATCAGCAAAAGTGAACTATTCTTTTAAATTAAACATTAGTTGAAATAATTTGGTCAGCTTCAACATAAGCATATATCCCATCGATGGACAACCCCACAGCTCACAGGAGGTCTGTCTTTATACGTTTTATTCAAAGTCAAACGCCTTTAGAGAAACTGATGGGATTTTTACTTCCTGAAGCCAACTGGTGCACTCTGTTTGTTGCTACAAGAGTTTGGAAAATATCCAATATTTCCATAATGTGTTTGCCTGCCATAAAAAGGAGCCGTAACTAAGAGAGATCAGAGTTCAACTAGAATGAGATGTCAATTTATAAGCCAGGCACTTCCCAGGTAACTGTTCTTAAAGGGACAGTTCACACATGCTCATGTCATTCCAAATATATAATATATACAGTCAATACCAGATATAATTTTTAATAGTGTTTTACAAGTGTGTGCAGGACACTATAGTTAACGTATGTAAGTGAGGAGATCAAAATAAAGTAAACTGTGACATATTACACCCAAATATTCTTCATGCAGTGACTAGCAGTGACATTTACACACAATGATTCGGACACTTTGAGCTGATCATGTTTTGCTAATGCTCTTTTTACATGAACATGAAGCATTGCTTGGTCACTGGTTGAGCTAAACTGGTATTATCTAATTGTGTAGTTAAATTTAACAGCTGACAGATATTCAACATAATTCATGTGTGAGGACTAAACCAGTCAAATATCCACTGAGTTTTGCCCATATTTCATCACTATTTTCTAAACTATAGCCATTAAACTGTGATAATGTGAGAAATGTTGAAGGTGTCTGAATACATTTTGTTTTGACTGTATATTTTAAACAACATTTGGACTCCATCGACTTTCATAGTATGAAAAACAACAATACATTGTTTGAAACATCCTCTTTGGTGTTCATAGAAAGTAAGTAATAAGTAACTCACACAGATTTATAGAGGCATGAAGGAGAGTAAATGGCAGAATTATAAAGAAGATACAAAACCACGAGAGACCGCAAACCATGAAGTCTAGGCTAGTTTTAAAAACGGCGCTTGAACAAATACAGTAAAAATAGCCGAAACGAAAGCTAAATTTGGGGCGTGGATGTGCTGGGAATTACTATGAGCGGCGCTGAAGTGACGGTGTGTGTAAGCGCTGAGCACAGAAAAGACTGTGAGATATGTTGGGCGTATGCTGGGCAAGACACACACGAGGCCAAAGTTTCTCACACACGTACGCTGATTAAACAGTGTGCTGACGAGCAGCGAGCGCTTACCGTTGCGGGAGATGTCGAGCTCCACGAGCAGGTTGAGGTTCGCTATATCCCCCGGCAGACGCTGGATCTCGTTGTCACTCAAGCCGAGCTTTCTCAGCTTCGTCAGATTGAAGAACGGCTGAAACAGAGCAAGAGACAAGTTTAGTGCTATTGCGGTTTGGATTAGCGACGCAAAATCAAAAGCAGCTTCAAGGAGTAGTTCACTTTAAAAAAAAAATTGCTTAAAATGTACTCACCCCCATGTCATCCAAGATGTCCATGTCTTTCTTTCTTCAGTCGAAAAGAAGTTAGGGTTTTTGATGAAAACATTCCAGGATTTTCTCCATATAATGGACTTCAATGGGAACCAAACGGTTCAAGGTCCAAAAGAGAGTTTCAGTGCAAACTGTTCAAAGGGCTTTAAACGATTCCAGACGATGAATAAGGGTCTTATCTAGGAAGCTTGGAGTCATAACTCGAAAAAAAGATTCGTGAGTTCGAACAGGAGAGTCACGAACGCGCATCACAGAACAGCTGCAAGGCGAGCATTTGAGCTTATAAAACTTAAACTTTGTTTTTTTTTTTAATCGTTTCGCTTGATAAGACCCTTATTCATCGTCTGGAATCGTTTAAAGCCCTTTGAACAGTTTGCACTGAAACTCTCATTTGGACCTTGAACCGTTTGGTTCCCATTGAAGTCCATTATATGGAGAAAATCCTGGAATGTTTTCATCAAAAACCTTAATTTCTTTTCGACTGAAGAAAGAAAGACACGGACATCTTGGATGACATGGGGGCGAGTAAATTATCAGCAAAAGTTTTTTCAAAAGTGATCTACTCCTTTAAGTTATTCAGCGAGTGATTTTCTCTGTCTTTTGTTCATGATCAGTTATTGTGATCTGCATATCATATCGTGATTTATACATTTGCAATATTTCGCTATATTGTGCAGTGCAAGGGCATAGCAGTTAAAGGAGAACTCCGGTGCAAAATGAACCGTTGGTCTAATAAAACATTGGTACCAAGTCGAGATTTGTTTTCATGATAATCGAATGTAAAGAGTTTTATCTCTAAAAACTGTTTAGCGTTATAATGCTAGTATATGGGGAACAAAGTAATGAAAAATAAAAACCGCTAGTTAACACCACAAATAGCCCCACACTAACACCGTAACATAATGAGGGTCCCTATATGCAAAACTACGTTCATGGTTCGTCTTGTCGAGACTGTTTTCCAAAGACTACTATAGCCCTACTGTGCACTTATGTATAAAACAAAGTCTCATTTGGTACAATTGCTTACATATGATGTACATATTGCAAAACAGTTCTGATGTGAATATGGGTACGGTTACGGCTGGTATGGATAAGTTTAAGTGTGGGTCAACTATAGTGTACAACATAGTCAATTTGTAATTGCACTTACAGTACAAGAAGGTATTTTAACATTTAAGTACAATGTGAAAACATGTACACAATAATAATAAGTGTGTTGCATCAAAATATTCATTAAACTGTTAGTAGTTAAAAACACCCAATTTAAAACATCAAAATATTTTCTTTCAATAACTTCAGGTTTGGAATAACGAGGGTGAATAAATTACGCCATAATTTAAATATTTTGGCTGAACTATCCACAGCTTAGTGAATTAAAAAAAAGATGATGGATAAAAGACTTCAGGGATGAAAACAATGTTATTTAATATAAGTTTAATTGACAACTTTGGTCGGAAACATGGAATACTAGATTATATTAGGCAGTACACACTGTTACTTTTTTCTAATAACAATAAAGGGAACAAGTTGTCATTGTGGTCTCATAACCATAAAGGCCAATTTATACTTCTGCGTCGAGGGTACGCCGTTGTGAACGGCGTTGGCTACGCACGTAGGCGACGCCGTTGTGAGCATTTATAGTTCTGCGTTCAGGTCTTGGTTGCTCTGCAGTACTGCTCCGAAACGCTAGTTGGCGGCGGAGGGTTTTAATGTTCCACTGTTTACATTCCCCGAGTTGCGGCTAGGTTATTACAAGCCTGAAAGAGAGCGGATCATGTTGGAGTTGGAGCTTATTGAGGTGGAAAAACAGTTAATTTTAGTGAAATTACTAAAACTGAAAAGCAGAAATGAGAGAAGACGTCGGAGGAGATGGTACGTGTGGAAATGCGTGAGAAGGCACGTGCGGAAATGTGTAGGAGGAAATGCGATGCTACCAAGCCGACCAATCACAGATCTTGCGGTCCGCGTCGCCGCGACGTGTAGTTACATTTTTGAGGAGGTGCGCGTCAGGCTACGGCGAAGGGTACGCGGTATGGGACGCGTCTCTGCGTATGCTACGCCGTACCTACTGCGCGCACCCTACGCAGAAGTATAAATTGGCCTTAACACACACTCAGTGGTGGAGGAAGTACTGAATCTCAGTACTTAAGTAAAAGTACAAATAACCAGATAAATATTTACTTTAGTAAAAGTAGAAGTAACACAATGACAACCATACTTAAGTGAAAAGTAAAGTACCTGATTTTAAATGTACTTTAAGTATTAAAAGTAAAAGTACTTGCATAACAATTGATTCTCTTAATGTCTATTTTCTAATGATTAGTAAAACATTTAATTGTAACTCATTCAACCCAATACTCCTATAATGATGTTCAATAATGATGGAAAAAAAATTGTTGTCACCATTTCTGAAACAAGCTTTAGGCAATATAAACCATGCTTATCCTTACTATATGTTAATAACTACGTTTGGCAGTAAACGAGATTAATTTATGGTGTCATTCTGAACCTCTTGGTTTCCCATAATCTTAACTAAACGTATATTACACACGGTGTGTTTCCCATCCACGTAAAAACAAATTTTCGCGTGTAAATTGCACGATAAACACACTGCGTGCGAGATGCATTTAGTTGATGTATCTATGGCAACCAAACGTCACTGGTGAGACAAACGTGCAACGAACAGACGGTCAGATTACGTTTTGGCAGGGGAAAAACTGATCAGAAAATTAACAGAAGTTGTAGAAATGTAGTGGAGTAGAAAGTAGAATAATTGCTGCAAAATGTAACGAAGTAAATGTAAAAAGTATGCTCTATTTATTCTACTTAAGTAAAGTAAAGATGCGTGAAAAATGTACTTAAGTAAAGTAACAAAGTATTTGTACTTCGTTACATTCCACCACTGCACACACTTAGCACGTAAATCTCATTTATCATCTTGCATAAATAATGACTTTACATTCCCTGTTCAATATCGTGAAAAAAACATTGTAGGTCAAGTCGAGTGCACAGGTCATGGGTTATTCCTTCCAGAACATTTCTACATATGCAGAAATATCCTAAACATTTCCTATGCAAAGTTTAGAGCGGATTATGGGTCATTCTGATGCTCTACTGACTCACATTTGAGTATTATTGATGTGCCGGTCTAGAAACACCAGAAGCTCCCCATGCATGAGGCCGGGGTACAAACCCACCCGAGTGTCCCACGATCAATGCGCACAAAGACACAAAACTAGTTAAAAAGGTTAGCAAATGTCCAGTGGCCTGGCAAGAGCCGCTCTGTGATGTAATCTGCTGTTCATGTCGCTCTGACCTACTTGTTGAGTTCCTCCCACCTCTCGCTGGCACTATGGAGCATGCTGGGAAAACTGCATATTAAAGCACCCCATAAAACAGCACAATCACACCAACAGTGTTCAACACTACGAGACCCGATGCAGAGACGTAGAGCAGCTCCGGTGTGCCGTGGGTCCGGTTACGCTCGCATTCACTTTTCCAATCCTTGATGGGAATCATTGGGAATTTAACATTCTGCTTCCGCTTGCACTGATTCTGTTAAAGGCGATTTCTAATGCTATTGTGACGACCCTGTGTGAGTTCCCGATTGGTTTTCCTCATGCTAATTGCTAATTAGTTACAGCATAATGGTGCTTTATCATGAGGCCTTTATAACATTTTAATGACAAATTCAATTTGTACGACTGTAGATGAGGTTAAGAAAAATGTCATAATGGCCTCATGACCAACCACATGACAGTTTAATGTAATGTTAACCCATAAAGCTAAGTGGATTCTTAAAGGGTCACTTCAGCCATTTGCATTAAGCTTTGTATCTTTAGAAACCCAGTCATATTTTTGAATGGTCATGGTTTATTCCCTTATTTTCCCCTGAGATGGGAGAAATAAGGATTTAAGTGTTTTATTTCCTGCTTATCGTGACATAAAAAGCGTCATTTTGCGTCACGATAAGCAAGAAGTCACATTTCATTGAAATGTCAACAGACTACAATGATTAGCTCATTATTATTCAAGGGTGTGGCACCCACTCACCCACAGGCCTATTACAGATCAGTGGGTGGGACTTCACTTGCAGAAACTGAAATCAATATCCGCCATCTTGTTTGGAAGCTAAGCTAACAAGAGATATGTGGAGATATGAAGTTATGATAATGGAAGAAACTAAACATGATATGGAAGAAGAGGGTTTTGAAAGTCTGCTGCTCGAATCCGATGTTCGTGGCTATCTTTATGAGCTGCAGTATAGTTTAGAGCAGCTGAGCAGAAAGCACATAGTAAAGAAAATCTAGATGAGAATTACAGAAAAAAAAGACAGGAAGTTTTTGAATCAACATAAAGACATATATATTAAAAGACCTGATGGAAAAGGAGCATTAGATGCTGACTTTGAGATATGGGAACTTAAAAGGGTATTACACAGGATAAAACGAACAGCTCCTGGAAAAGATGGAATTTATTATATTATGCTTAAATATGCAAATGATAGAATTCTGAAAGTAGTATTGGATTTATATAATAAGATATGGATAGAAGGAAAAATGCCAAAGTCATGGAAACATGCAATAGTAATTCCAATAGCTAAACCAGGGAAAGATGCATCGATAGCAGGGAATTACAGACCAATTGCGCTTACATCAAATTTATGCAAGTTGATGGAAAAAATAATTGTAAATAGGCTAAATTATGTACTTGAGAGTAAGGGAGCATTGGCACCTTATCAATATGGTTTTAGGAAAGGTCGATCAACATTAGATGCATTAGTAAAGCTGGAAACCGATGTAAAGAAAGCTATAGCAGCCAAAGAGGGATTAGTGGCAGTTTATTTTGACATGGAAAAGGCATA